GGCATCATTTTTTTTTTTGTATCCCTTGCAATTCGACACCTTCAAGTTAAAAAAAATAAATAAATGTACACTCTAAAAAATGCTATGTTGTTTCAACCCAAATTTGGGTCAAATATGGACAAACTCAAATGTTGGGTTAAAAATGCAATTTAAAAAAATTACTGTTGGGTTAAAATTTGAAATTACATTTTTAACCCAATATTTGGATTTGTCCATATTTTACCCAAATTTGGGTTCAAACAACCCAGCATTGTTTAGATTGTTATGTCGTTCATTTTAATGCCCACAAATGTGTGCACTTTATATTTGATTGAAGAGGCAAAGTGATTAATGAAATATATAGATTTTTTATTTATTTTAAATATCAGTCTTTTTTTGTTACATTGACATTTTTATGTTGTGGTTGTTTTTTTTTTACATTTAACATTTTCTTTTTGCCATATTTACCTACTTTTTTCATTTTAAAACATTAGTGGATGCTTTCACAGACTAGGCTTAAACCTAGTTCCAGACTCAAATGCATATTTGAGCAGTTTTAACTGAAAGCAACTTATCTTAAAATATGCCAGTGCCATTTGTTTTGTCTCAGGATTCACACCAGTAAGGTTTTCTTCATCTTCTTTTGTTTTCCCCTAAGGCACCTTTATTAAAGCTACTTGAAAGTTCTAATTGAACTAAGGCCTAATCCTGGCTTAATCTAAGTATCACTTGTACAACTTGGCCTGCACTCTAATAAATGCTAGGTTGTTTTAACCCAATTTTGGGTGGAATATGGACAAACCCAGCCATTGGGTTACATTTTTAAATTACATTTTTAACCCAATGGCTGGGTTTGTACATATTTTACCCAAAATTGGGTTAAAACAACCCAGCATTTTTTAGAGTGCAAGTATCAAGTTCACTTATTATTGATTTTTGCACATTGCAGATGTTTGCATGTGTTGGCATGTGAATGTTGAGTGTACAGTGTGTGTAGTTTGGGAAGGGCCTGTGGACAGCAGGCCTGCGCTAGCACATTGCCTACAGTCACATAGCAGCTGTTTGAGTATGTTTCACTTTGTGTGTGTTAATGTGGTACTCTCACACCTGGCCTACCTACACCTCTTTCTAGTGAAATTCATAACCGTCAGCTTTCTCAAGCATGCTCACTTTTCTTTTCTTCTAACAATTCTTTCTCTCTCTTTCTCAGCAAACAAGTTTTGTGCTCTTTAAAACTGTCCACATGACAGCTGAAATATGCGTTCATAAAATTCCTATCTCATTTAACCAGATATATGCTTTATCTCACAGCGCTTTCATTACGAGATGACTTGAAATATGTATTTGTTCTTTCCTCACCTCTTATCAAGCGATGTGGCCATTTACCGCAATTCATAATAATAATTTCATTCCGCACACTTCCACAATTACGGCCAGAGGAGAAGAGCGAACAGCTCTGAGCTGTAAGCAGTGGTATCCCTCACTCCTCTTAAGTGCTGCTGATATAGTGGCCAGGACGATATTTTTCAGCTGAAGTGCTTCTCTTCTGTGGAAGGCCTGTCTTAAAGAGATTCCAGCTCATTCACCAGCGGATTAAATGCTAGTAGTTACAATGATCAATAGGTTAAGAGGAGGCCCATCCCTCTCTCCACTAATGACCTCAGTGGTAATGGGCAGTAAAATGTGAGCTGTAATAGCCTTTCCGCTAGAGCTGAGGTTTGGTAGAAGTGGACGCACACACACACACACACAAACACACACATGCTCATGCTGTAAATGAGGGTGTGAAGCTGGTGTCAGTGTGTCTGTAAGGTGTGGATATAAAGGGTTTAATTGGAACAGGCTGGCATTGTAATTTTTCGTGTCCTGAGAAGTTAGTAAATGTTTTTTACAAAGCGTTTACATTTTACATTAGATGTTTAAAAGGATTTATTTGGTTGTTGGAACTGAAAAGTACATTTATTTTAAAATTTTGTTTTGTTTCGAGAACAGTTTCACCCTTCACAAAAAAATATAAGAACTTGCATTGGTGACGCTTAACAGTAAGGTATCATTTGTTGACATTAGTTAATTTATTAATTTACATAAACTAACCAATAAGCAATACATTTGCTGCAGTATTTATTAGGGCTGTCAATCGATTAATCGCGATTAATCGCATCCAAAATAAAAGTTTGTGTTTGTATATGTGGGTGCACGGTGTATAATTATTTTATATATATATATATATATATATAAATTAGGGCTGTCAAATGATTAATCGCATCCAAAATAAAAGTTTGTGTGTACATAATATACGTGGGTGCACTGTGTATAATTATTTTATATATATATATATATATATACACACACATGATTGTATAAATTTAAGAAATATTTTCATGTATATACTGTATATAGATTTTTATATTATTTATATTATATATAAATATAAATATTTTATATATAAATAATCTTATTTTCTTAAATATACAAGCAGGTGTGTGTGTGTGTGTATATATACATATACATATATATATATATATATATATATATATATATATTATACACAGTGCAACGCACCCACATATATTATGTAAACAGTAAACACAAACTTTTATTTTGGATGCGATTAATTGCGATTAATCGTTTGACAGCCCTAATATAAATACACACACACACACATGCTTGTATATATTTAAGAAAAATTTTCATGTATATACTGTGTGTAGATTTATATATAATTTATATTATATATAAATATAAATATTTTATATATAAATAATATTTTTTTCTTAAATTTACATGCATTTGTGTGTATTTATATATATATATATATAAATTAATTATACACAGTGCACCCACATATATTATGTAAACACAAACTTTTATTTTGGATGCGATTAATCGTTTGACAGCCCTAGTATTTATTAATCTTAGTTAATAAAAATACTGCTGTTCATGTTAGTTCAAGTGCATTAACTAATGTTAACAAATACAACCTTAGATTTGAATAATGTTTGTAAATGCTGAAATTCACATGAATAAATTCTGTAGAAGTGTTGTCCTTTGTTAATTGCTATTAACTACAGAGGAAACCTAATTGTGAAGTGTTACCCAAAAATTAAACATTTATGAAAATGTTGTCCAAATAAGCAAATCCATTTTTTTACTGGGTGTAAATGTTTGTTCATGTTTCTTGTTGAAATTTTAAGAGTGATCAAATAAAATAAAATATGAAACATCCAAATTGGCAATTATTAATTGGTAAGGATTTAATAATCAAGTATAAATGTACAAACGTGCAAATCTGGTGTTGTTTTAGCTCGTATTGTCTCTCACCACACGCCCGTCTGCCTCTCTGACCTTCAGAATAGTTCATCAAAATTAGTGGCGCTGAGAAATAAGGACATGAGGCCATAATTACTGTGAAATGAAGAAATCAAGGGGTGCAGCCTATGCAAATGGTGCGCTAAGCCAAGTGAAAAATGGGCCGCATATTAAGACGTACCAGCCGTGTGTTACGGCGCCCGCCTGTGTGTTCAACTTTGATTGTAAGCACCACCACATATCCATTTTGGTGATGAGTTTAACAAGTTCAACCCTGTCTGTGTGACATTGCGTTTAAGAAGTTCCTTCAAGGTGTTTTGTTTTTTGTTGTTATATTTAGATTAGTTTGAAATAGGCGGAGGTGATTTGACAGTTAGCCCCTCCCCTCACACACTCATTTACATTCATCAAGACCTGACAAATTCAAACGCGTGTCAGCGATTCTGAATCACAGATGCAATTGGGTAACCTTGGTGAAGGAAGACTGTCGCCCTAATGTCTGGCCAGTCAGGAGTAGATGTGAGACATGCATCTGCGATCTCGCACACACTTGCTAAAACACGCTGGGGATGTGTGTTAACAGTTGCAAATGCCCGCCGCTATCAAGTTCAGCACAGACTTGGTTTGTCACCCAATGTCACAAAGGAGATTTTAATGGCACGGTGTATCAGAGAAAGGCTGACACTGAGACACACACGTGTACTGTATTCACACAGCCTCTTCTCTAATTAAAGACCCCTGTCAACAGCACGAGGACCCTCTCAATGTCATCACACGCCATTTTCTTTTACGCCCATAATATGTGTACCCTTTTTATTCCACTTAGGCTTGTTTGTGTGCCCTTAAATGTGTTGTTTTGATATATTTTTTTAGAGAGGGACTCTACTTCCGAACTAACAAAGAACACATCCTGCTTTGACACAGTTCCATTCGTGTTAATTGATATTCAGCGATTTTAAGTTTACGCACACAACAAAACGGTACACCGTGAGTGTTGTGACCCATTTTAGTGAAGTATCGCAGGGACAAGAAGCTTCACGCTGATGAAGAGGGGGGAAAACAATCATGGAAAAAAAATGAAAATACAAAACGTATTCAAACAGTCACAAGCAAAACATGGACAGCACTCCAGAATAATGGCCAGTGGCCTTGTCTCTGGAGTGGGACGTTTGATGATGGGGGACGCTGTGTGTGTGTGTGTGTGTGGGGTTTTCTCTTTGTATCTGTCGGTCTTCCATCAGTCAGTAGCTTTGGCTTCTCATATCACTGGTTCTGAAAGCTCCTCAGGTGTTTTTTTTTTTTTTTTTGTTTTTTTGAGAAACAGATCTTGATCTCTTAGCACATTCTTCTGGTGACAAGCTAAGACATTTGACACGTTATTTTCAGCCCGTTCTCATCCTTTAACGTCATATAGAACGCTATATGCAAAAACGGCGCTATACTACGCACATGGCACCCTTTATCATTAATATAACACTCGAACACAAGACGTTATAAATCCTTTAGCGTGAATATGATACGCAGACCCTACCCCACACCTAAACTTAGCCCTCACAGCGCGTGTTATATTAACGATAACGGGTGCCATGTGTGTAGTATAGCGCCGTTTTTGCATATAGGTTATTTAGTTTATGTATTTTTTGAGTAAGTTTTATGTGATTATCCAAATGCCATTGTATTCATATGTCCATCTTCTTCCTGTGTTTGTGTAGGTCCCAGTTTCTGTTGCTATGATGACACCACAGGTCATAACTCCTCAGCAGATGCAGCAAATCCTCCAACACCAAGTTCTGAGCCCACAGCAGCTCCAGCTGTTACTGCAACAACAACAAGCACTGATGTTACAGCAGGTATTTGCCCTCGTTCTGTTATAGCGGATATATTCCTTCCGTTTGAATGACTCAAATATTACTCTGGTTTAAACCAACACTATGACATTACAAGAGTTCTAATTAAATTATAAGCCATGAGGATCCTTGCGTCACGATGTGAAGCAGAGTTCAATAAATAATATGAATAAACCATTTGGAATATAATATATTAAGATATAATTTATTATAGTCGTAATCTATTATAAACTGGCAGCAGAAATTGAAGGAGTACTTTTGCTGATAATTTACTCACCCCCATGTCATCCAAGATGTCCATGTCATTCTTTCTTCAGTTGAAAAGAAATTAAGGTTTTTGATGAAAACATTCCAGCATTTTTCTCCATTAAATGCACTTTACTGGGCACCAAACGGTTCAAGGTCCAAAAGACAGTTTCAGTGCAAACTGTTCAAAGGGCTTTAAACGATACCAGACGATGAATAAGGGTCTTATAATCGCTTATCGATCGCTCAAAAAACAAAAAAATTTAAGTTTTATAATGTTTAAGTTTTATGACTCACCTGTTTGAACTCAAAATGAACGAATCTTTTTCAGAGTCCATTCGTTCATTATGTTCTTTGAATGAACCGAATGGCACCGATTGGAAAAAAGAATTGTTCATTTTGGGTTTGAACAGGAGAGTTGGGATGTTGCTGGAATGTTTTCATCAAAAACCTTAATTTCTTTTCGACTGAAGAAAGAATAACATGGACATCTTGGATGACATTGGGGCGAGTAAATTATCAGCAAAAGTTTTCAGAAGTGAACTACTCCTTTAACAACTAATAAATTCCTAAGTGCCCTACAATTAGTTCCTTTCTCTTAATGTATCAAACATACAGTAATTCCTCTTTTTCAACTGGCTTAAAAGGATACTCCACTTTTTTTGGAAATAGGCTCATTTTACAACTTTCCCAGAGTTAAACCGAAGTTTTACCATTTTCGAATCCATTCATCTGATTTTCTGATATTTAGAAGAGTATCAGTAACCAGACAGTTTCTGGTCCCATTGACTTCCATAGTATGAATCAGCTGAATGGTTTCGAAAATGATAAAACTCAACTGTTTAACTCTGATGGAGTTGTAAAATGAGCCTATTTCCAAAAAAAAAAGTATCCCTTTAACTGTTGCTCAGTCTATGTGACAAACCAAGAGGATTAGTCATACATGTAACAGTGAAGCAATAAACACAGTTTGGTAAATCTGTGACATGTGACTCGAAGAATTTTCACACACACTTTAGGTTAGTTCTTCCTGATTCTCTGTAAATTTGACTTTTGAAAGTTGTGAAATGTGAAGGTTGTATATCATGAAGAACAGGATTTTTTATGTGGTATTGAACCAAGAGGAATGTGTAGACAATGTCTCAAATGTTCAAAACTTCTTCCTTATTCCCTTTCATTGCTATTCAAAAAAATATTATTATGCCATACATATGTTAATGTTGAAGATTTGAGGTATTTTACAGTACATTACTCTTTTAATTCTTAGGGTCACAGTAGAGGAAATGATCTCTTTTGTAACATAATACTTCTTCTTCAGGAGAAAATAAATAAAACACAGCAGAAATACAGAAGAGGCGTCTTTAATTTATGACTCTGTGATTTTGCAGCAGCAACTCCAGGAGTTCTACAAGAAACAGCAAGAACAACTCCACCTTCAGCTCATCCAGCAGCAGCATGGCAGCAAACAGCAGAGTAAAGAGGTATGCTGACTGCATTACTTTACACGCAAACACTCAGCCCTGGTGTTCATTACCTGCCCCCAGTGCATCAAGCAGCTGTTTCCCACCAACACAAGTACAAAATCATTCCAGTGCCTTGGTGTCATCTTATTTTTGAGTTGAGTTGACAATGGGAAGAACCCTGTCCTGCTCTTGTATTTCTGCTCCGCGTCCTAACCAACCGCAACACTATAATCCAATAAGCACTAAAATGTTCTTTAATAATTCATTAATTTGAGTTCTTGTTCTAACCAGTCCAAAGATAAAACATTGATCTATTTGTGTGACGTCGCCCCTGCATTATAATTTCATTAGTCCAAAATAATGCTCTATATCTAAAATATACACTACGGTATATACACTAGTTTTTGAAAAAAATTAAAATATAATAGAACAGTTCAAAAGAACAGCATTTATTTGATATGAAGAAGTCTTAAATATCGCTCTTGGCAAAAATTTTTTGAATGGTAGTGGTTTTTGATTGGCTGTTATTGTGCCGCTTCATATTCCATGTTCAGTGTCTGAGGCCAAAAAAAAAAATACACGTTAAAGCTGGCCCAGTATTTGTTCTCTGTAGTTTTCCATGCTTATTTTGGCAATAACGTTAAAAAGATAACGCTCTTTCAAGATCGCGACACCGCTCATCCTAATATTCCTTTCCTTAAATCAATCTGAAAATAGTTATTTGACAAAATATTTAATAAACAAAACTTTTTTGGACAATTTCAATTATTATTGCGATTCTGCAGAGATCCATTACTAATTACTAGTATGAGTACTAATATGAACCGATTGAAGAGCGCGTGAGGTTTCTCCGGTGACAGAAATACGGCACAGCATAGTTAGTTGTTGTATATCTGAAGGGTTCTACCTCTTTCTCTGTCTTCCTTCATTTTAAGGCCGTAACACCAGCTGTGTTTCTGGCTGCTCTAATGACAGCAGGATAAGGCAATGCTCTAGACAAAAGAAGCGATTATTGTGCGGTCAGAAGCAGTTCAAAGACGATCAGAGTTTCACTTCTTAACTTCCCCACAGAGAGCTTCGTTCTGTAACCGGAGAGAGCGTATAAATGAAGGCGAACGTTGTAACACACACACACACACACACGCTTTCACATGCTTACTTCAAAGTCCCCCAGCTCGCTAATTAATGAACTGGGGGCTTCAGTTTGGACAAGTTGTGGTGCGTTGCCTCCATAAATCAATGCGACAGGACTGTTTCTCTTGCCTCTGACAGAAGCTGTCACTCTTTCTCTCTCTCTCTCTATCTCTCTTTCCCTCTCTCTCATGTCAGAAGGACCGATGAGGGGAAGGGGACTCTGGAATGGGAGGGGGGGGTTGAAAAAAGGAGGGTGGCACCGTCAAAAGAAGAAACAATTGATCAGCTGAATGGAACGTGACGAACAGGAAGGAAAAACACCATTTTAAAGAGTATTATGTATGATCACAGGAATTTGATGCAGCCCTCGAGAGGCTCTCCTCCGTCTGTGCGTGTTTTTCTCTCTCGCACGCTCCCCCTCCTTCGGCTTTCTCTCGCGCAGCCATCAAAAGATGGAATACGAATTGTTGCAGCGACTCCCCCCACGGGGGTCAGACAATAACCCCCCGCTGCTGCTTTGTGCCTCTTTTATTTAAAAGACAACAAAATTTCATAGGTTTTCAAAGATTTTTAACTTTGGATTGAAGGCGAGGCAATAAAAGGGCCTGCCAGCGTCAGTCTGGATCATGTTGTCATATGCTCTATTCTCGCCTCTCTCGCGTGCCACTCCGTGTTAACCTCCCATTCGCTATGCCAGGCTGGCGTTAGGTTAGCGCTCGTGCGACGAGGAAGATCTCAAGCGGCCGAGGCCATCCTTCAGGGTGACGTACAGATGAAAATAAACACAGTTTATGATACGGTTCAATTTGTTAGCATACTTTAACTGTATTTATTAATCTGAATATTACACTGATAAATGTTGTAAAACTATATACCTTAAGCATCAATATTAATGTTTTTTTTTTATTATAGTCGGCATGAAACGGAAGTTGCAATTTGTCTTTACTTCTATATTGTGGCTTATCCGAGTGAAATCGCTTCTCAAATAAAATAAAATGTAGGAGCGGGACTTGATTTTTCCATTGGGATTTGATGGACAGAAGAGAAGAGAAGAAATGTCTTTGCAAGGGGGGGGGAGAGGAAGTTATTCTGATTAAATATTAAAAGGGGAAATATTTTTTTTTTTAAATGATGTGTTTGGATGAACTGGTTGTCATATTCCATAAAAAATGTCCATTTTGATTTCTTAAAAGACTATTTATTTTATTAATAAAGGTTTTTATGTGCACAATTCACAGTATTAAAAAACATGTTCATTTTCATAGTCTTTCGTAAAATATATGTTTCTCCACCCTTTAATGTGATTTAAAGGTAGATTATATATATTATAAGAACTGATTTATCCATTTAAAAACAGTAATTTACCGTAATCTCAGCATTGCATATTTGTTTATGCTTTTAATTGTCAGGATAATGAAATAAAAGTCAAGGATAATGTGATCAGGACATGACCCAGACCTGACCCTGCTTCTCTGTGGGAGCACCACAGCGCGCATATGTTGTGCTACCGCTGCGCCATAGCTCTGACCACTGACATTAAAGCATTTGTATGTTTAAAGCCTCGTGATCAGGGTTAGAGTGGAGAGCGAGCGAGAGAGAAAAAGAAACAGACCTTTGACAGGCAGATGAGGATGGGTGGACCATGAATGAGAGTGGAAAAAGAGCAAGCACTTTATCAGGCTGTTTCAGATCTGTTCTGGGTCTAAAGGTTGACCTGTCCGCGCCTGTGCTGCGGGACCTTTTTTGTGCGCCTTCTGTTTGGAGAAGTAAACACAAAGCGAAGCATCCTGTGTTTGGGAAGAGGGTGCGGCACACAGCTTGGCAAAGCCACGTTTGCGCTTTAATGTACCAACAAACACGTGCACACACACAAACACATGACCCCCCCTCAGTGTCCGGTTTTTCACCACGGGTCCATCAGAAACCTTCAGAGGAACGTCCCGTGATTATGGCTCATGCTTAGTTGTCGTAATGCATAGAGGAGGTCATAAACAACAGTGTTAGCATTGAAAGGGTTCAATAACCCTGTATCTCCATAACATCGCCCATTAGTTTTGACTGAGGGGTGATTGGGGATGTTAGATAATTTCCTCCCATTTATCGTCCTGACGACGCAGCAGTTTGTTCGCCCAATTCCTCCCTCTCCTTCTGTCTTTCAACACCCTCTTTTCCCTGTTTCCCTTCCACTTTTACTAACTCACTCCCTTCTTCCTCTGAAAATGTCCTCAGTCTTTTGGCACCTTGCTTTTTTCTCTATACTCAGTTCCATCTATCCAGATGTGAGGGTGTATATTACTGTAAGACACTGAACACAAACATCCTCACAAAATGATATAAATTGCAATGTCATTCATGATTAAAAAATATCAGTCAATTAAATAAATTGTTAGGCCTAAACATCACATGTAGATAAATGTGTTATCCATTAAAAAACAGTAATTTACTGTAATCTCAGCATTGCATATTATTTTAAGTTAATGCACTAACTTTTACAATGTACAATGCATTAATATATCACACAAAAAATAAATATATTTATAAAAAACTAATGAAAATGAAATAATATTGAGATTAATCAATGATTAGGTTTACATGCAACCAAATAATCTGTTAGTAATCGGATTGGCGGATTAATGGGACCGAAAAGCCTTCAAGTAAACACCTTAATGATCCAAATGAAATTTCGATTAGATTGTAAGGGTGGGTTTATTCCTTTTCTAATCCGTCGATAGGACATGCAAACACTTGATTGGATTGTAAAGAGAAACTAGAAAGCACTGTGCATGTGCAATGTGGAAATGGCATAATGACGTATGACCCATGGAGCGAGCTCTTGTAGTTGTTGAATGTAGGACTGTGAAACGATTAATCACGATTAATCGCATCCAAAATAAAAGTTTGTGTTTACATGATATATGTGTGTTGTGTGTTAAATGTAGTGTCATGAATGACTGTTGTGTCATTCTAAAATTCTCCTAATTAATATGGCAATATTGGAGAATAGCATGTGCAAACAGTGGTGAAACTCTGTATATTCATGCAGTGTGCGAAAAAAAACCAAAAAAAAACTCAATTCTGATTTGAAGCTTGTGACATATAAACTCGCTCATCAACCCGATCACTTTATTTAGCATTCTTGGAAACACTACGTTTGGATTAATCAATTAAAAACGTCATGAAATTAAAAATGGGCCCGTTTATTTTATGCATAAATGTTTTAATATCCACAATTCATTTTATTATATTTTTTATAAATGTGCCTCAGAATTAATTGTATACAATGCCATGATAAAATGAATCACAAAATATAAATGTGTAAAATTGGCACATACACTGCTTAGCTCTCCTCCTATTGGACGGTTGCCCTGTTACTTCACACCCCTGATTTCTCCAAAGGAGACTACGGTTGGCTCCCCTGGCTCTGCACTAACACGCTGCTGAATATTAAGGAGCTCCTTTCAGTCACAGGTTGTTTGCAGAGTTATGAATGGCCATAATTAAAATCCTGTGGCTCTTATTAGGAATGATTAACAACATTTCATTATTTGTCACGAGCCTCCCCGACTCCTCGTTAATTAAGAGGGTGCTGGAATATGGGAATGTACCTGTCCGTGCCTGTTTGTGTGTGTTTATCAGCCCTGAGTGAATAAGTATGTTTGTGCACGTGTTGACATAATTGTTTGTGAGAGCGAGGATGATATGTAGACCCCTCATCCTTTCTCCGTCTCTCCCTCGGCAGGTGTCTGCGCAGCAGTTGGCGTTCCAACAGCAGCTGCTCCAGGTTCAGCAGCTCCAGCAGCAGCATCTCCTGAGCCTGCAGAGACAAGGCCTGCTGTCCATTCAGCCCAACCAGACTCTGCCCCTGCACTCCCTCACTCAGGGTAAGAACAAGCACATCTATCACCCCGCAAGGGGATATTCACACTGAGAGCAATGGGAATTGCTGACAAATATCTTACGGAAAGTGCAAGGAAATTATTCACAAAATTACAATGTGGTTTTTCATCAGCCTCCTAGAAAACGGCTTTTCTGTTTCCCTTTTTTTTTTTTGCTTGTTTGTTTATTTATAGATTGCAACATCTGTGTAAAAAAAATTGAGGATCTGTAGGGTTTTATTTTTGGGATCTATGTATGTATCAATTGTTAATTATCTCTATTATTTTTTGCTAAATGCAGGGTGGGGGCAACAATGGGCAAATATTGGGACAACAAAACATTTTTAAAAGAGTAGCCCTCAAACCGTCTTCACTTTATAGCCCTTAATCCTGTAATTGTGGACAAATTTGGTCACAGAGGACTCAGGTGTGATCCTAATTTTTTTATTTATTATAAATGTTATATCACTGTCTTCGATAAAGTTTTGTCTATCCATTTATGGTGTTTTTTTTTTATTTTGGGGGTATTTTTTTTAGTTTATTTACTTCAAAAAGTACCATATTTTCTATGTAAATTATGCTTATTTTTATGTGTTTTTTTTTAACTACATTAAAATATCATTCCAATAAGTTCTTAGAGCTAAAACCTAAAGATGAAGTGACTTTGCTGTCACCTGGTGTCTTATTTTGGCTTATTTTAGAATGCTCTAAATTACAGTTTTTCCCATTCATTTCTATGGGTGCCCATTTTTGACCCAAATACAAGATTTAGGAGTTTTTTTTTCACCCACTTAACATTGTAGAATTGAGTCAAAAAAATTTGTGTTCAGGAGGCAAACTTAGGAAAAGTAGCCAAGTCTTGTACCGCTCAGATCAAGGGAAGTATTTTTTTTAAAATAAATCAAAACTATTTTGCCCACATTTGTCCAGAATACGGTTTTAGTGTTAACTATGAGAAAATATCTTTATATGTAAATGTGTGAGGAAATACTTTACACACACATGAAGCGGTCTAGGAATAAATAGTTTTGTGCAGGGAAAGGTTTTGCACTTTTGATCATTTTACATAAATTTACTCTGAGATAAAAGGCCTTTATGTTCTCTTTGCATTGTAGCGTCTGTTGCTTTTCTTTTTTACAATGAGAAAATGTGTCCTTGATTTTCACTCTTCCATTGAATACATATATCTCTGATATATGTACATTTACATTTATCTTTGTTTTATCTCTATTGTCTTATGTTGGCTCCTCGTCAGCCCCCAAACATACTAGCTCCATTGTTTTCTAACCTCAACCCACTAAACTAGTCAAAGATTAATCACTTCACAAGCAGTCAGTGAGTCAAAAGGTGTTTTTCCAGGAGGTGTATTGCTTTATTTTCCTTGTCATGTTTACTTAAGGAGCAGCAACAGAATAAAGGCCCCATTCATTTTCCAGTTTTGTTTTGAGTTTTGTTTTCTTTCTTTCTTTCAAAAACTGACTGTACTCTCTCCGGCTAAGACAAACAAGCCCATAACAAGATAAGGCTGTATAAAGGCTGGGGAGGGGGGAACTTGGGTAACACGCAAATACAAACTGTGTTTGTTTAGTCTTGTTATTGTTTGATCAGGGCATAGTCGGAAAGCTGAGCCACTCCACATACCCATGTTGCCCTGGGGCTGGGCGAGGCGATGCTTTACAATGCGAAGCCATAGGCTAGTGTCAAATAGGAGGCCATCTCAATGAACAATTTGAAAGAATTGAAAGAACTGAAAGAACAATTTTTTAAAAAAGAATTGAAAGAACAATTTTATTTATTTAACAAGTGATTGAATGACATCTCGAGCAGTCGCTACCCAGGGAACATTGCAAGCATGTAGTGCCCAATCAGAGGGCAGTAATGAAAAACACAGAGAATACATGCTGTCGTTATACACAAGATATTGTTTAGATATATAATACATTTACTAGGCAGTAAAGGGTAGATTATTTACTAGTTTCCTAGAACCTGTCTGTCTAGTATTTATCTGATTGAATAACTGTAATAGCCCATGGCAGATTCCTTGAATTGGTGGTTAAGTGTTGCCCAAAGTGGTGGTTAAAGCCAGACTACAAAATAAACTTTTGCCTATTTCATTAGCCAATTTGAAATTAATTTAAAGTTTAGGCTTTTGATTTTTCTATTCATCAATTTAATCAGATGCGTTTCTTCTCTGTGTGCGTCCTTGCCTCTAACTAGCAGCATTTCGTGTCAACCGTCAGTCGGAGATGTCAGGTCGCCTGGCACAGTGACTGGTAAAATTGGGCCCAAATTTGACTGGCATAGGGGGTAATTTCATACCCTGATTAAAAAACATGTCAGTATGTGTGTGTTTGTGTGTGTGTGTCCTGCACATTTTCTGCTTCACTGTTAAAAGTTATTGATGACCTTTTTTTCTTTCACACTCCACTGCATTCTTTCATGCTCCAGCAGCCCAGTTTTCCATTCGCAAGATATAATCTACAATATTCAGTAGTTAGCTGAGTAGTTAGCATTGGTGTGATAAGTTATGTTACCTCCTTATGTGTGCGTGGTGATTATGTGCTTGGGCAAGCTACTAAGTAAGATTACTCGGCCAGCAACATGGGCTGAAATTGGCTTATTTATTAGACTCTGACTTTGATGCGTGAATGAAATCTTTTTACAATGTACAGGCACATCCAGTCAATTTCTACCCGATTTCTACCCTGTTTAAAAGCGTGCTACCTAGCTCTCTGGCACGGCGCAGACATCTGAGACTTCCATCAAAACACTGGTATTTGGTCCATTGTATTTGGGTTTATATCACTATTTGACTTTTTGATTTGACGTTTTGGAGAGGGTCAGCTGAAGTCTGCTATGAATTAGAGCAATGTGTTGGAGGAGTGTGAGTTACAGAGTGAGAAAACAAACCGAGCAGATGAATATTCAAGAAATGCAGAGAGGTGTATTTGGTGGAGTAAAACCAGTTCTGGCTTCTTTACTTGTCCCACGAGCACAATGCAAAGTTTTAGAAACAACCACACACACTGTAGCATAGGGTTCTTTACTCAACTCCAAAGGATATTTAATGCTAAAAAAGGTCAATGAGAAGAAAGAACCCTTTTGACACAAAGGTTCTTTAAAGGCTGTTTTTCGTTCATATATTTTATTATTCTGCAACATTTTGTAGTATGTAATTAAATTATTGTTTATTAAACTGTTTTAATTTAATATCACATTTTAATCATGCTGATTTTGGAGGATAAAAACTGAAATGGCACTCTTCGTCTGATATTGATTAATTACATTTTTAACCCACATATCTTGAATTTTGTGATCATTCACATGCATTGCAAATACGTAGCGCTTTAGAACCTTTTAAGGTTCTGTATAGAACCTTTCCTTCTATATAGTGCATATTAGAATATGGTGTGAATCACGTAAATTGTCATACCGAGTATGTACGCAATACAGAAGTCACTTCGGATCCTGATTATTTTTAGTGACTTGTGTTTAGTTTTATTTATTTTTTAAAACGCTTAGGTAATTTGTTTTCATTTTTTAACTTTTTTTTTAATGAATAAATCGATAGGGATCCATTGTTGACATTTTGACTAAATTGCTGACTAAATCCATCTAATTTAGCTGAAATTGGTGGAAAACATTAAACCTTTTCTTGAATGAATTTGCTTTCACTCTTGTAAATAACTCAACTTTGTGTGAACAGAATGGGTTTACGCAGAAGAGTCCTGGTTGTCTACATTGCGACTGCCAGATTTGTGTTCGTACTTCATTCAATCAGTGCTCTCCTACACACACGTTGTGAATCCCTCAAGTTCTGGAGTTCATTCTCATCTACAGCCTCACATTAGTTGTCAAGTTGTCCAGTCAAGGGCCACAGGACACCGACAAGACAAATTTGCCACTAATATGAAAGCAGGGAATGTGACCAGGCTTGATGCGCGATGTGCGCTCAGACCCATCAGGGGACTCCGGCCCCTCGTCCGGCCTCACTGGCAGTGATTGATCGGCTGGCAGTGTGGCACTGTTTAATAGCTTCTGTAGCATTAGGGAGGAACATATTTTAGGCCTAAGGGCTGCATATCGAAGGCCCCAGTGATCATAACCCCTTTAACAGGAGGGAGAGAAGATCTCTGCCTCACAGAACAATAAACTAATAGTAGTGTCAGTTTGCCCCCAGTGGTGCCATGGCAGCCTCATCGAGGAAGACGTGGTCACTGATTTCCGTGGCCCCAGTGCGCGACAGCATTTTTTATCGGGCTGCTGATGGGCCACAACTAATGTGGTTGTGAACCTTAAATCAACTTTCCGCTTGCTCGAACACGGTCACCAGGGTACCGGGGTACAAGGACAGGAAAAGGTTGAAGCGGGAGTTCGGGGCCCCAGTCTGGGTGTCGCCGCTACCTGCTGCGGTAAAAATTGAGTTGCTTCGCCGGCGATCAGTCAAACGTCTCAATGACATCCATTTTTTAAAAGCGCAAGCGTGTATCTTTGGCTTTTAATGAGAGGAGGCGCGGTGTTGAAAAATGACTTTAGGGCCGTTAAAGCGATCTGGAGTTTGCGAGACGGATTTAAGGACAAAGAACTGTTTCAATGCTATGTGTTATCTGCGAAATGTCATATCCATCATCGGCCACTAATTGAGGATAATGCTGTAACATTTGCCAGGTTGGTTGAGAGGTCATGTGAGGATATATGCAGACCATTTTGGGAGATACGGAGTAGAAACCAAGGCTTAGAGTGAGATATAGACCTGCAGAGGAAAAAGGCTCATAGGGGGTGTCAGACACAACAAGACAGCTCCGTCCCACTCTGTTACCCCTCTCATCAGCTCCCCTCCCCCCTCCGGCTTGGATTCGTTTCAGTAAACAGTGGTGTCGGGGTCACCTGGACTTGTGGGTAATTGAGGGAGAGTGGGCCGCCCTGTCAAGCACGTCGGCTAAAAATACATCGCACACTGTCACTGCGCTCCAAGTGGGGGGAAAATGATTGTTCTCCTCTATGTCCAAACCCAAAAACAATCACCAGCGCCATGACCTTCTTGAATCCACACGAACAAGTTTTCCCTCCCTCACAATGACAACAGCAAAGACGAAAAACAAGCAAGTCGATACCTTCGGACACCGCCGTCAGAGTTTCATGAGGACGTTAAAACGCACTGCAAGATGGCACAAAAAAAAAAAAAACCCAAAGAAGCGAAAGATGCCACGTAGCACGTGGGAAGGTTATTGATTCGTCCTGCAATAATTTCCGCTGGCTCTTTTATATGCAAACGATCTTGTGCGAATTTATGGCAGTCCTACCAGACTCATTTCACAGTTTTTAGTCTCTCTCGCTCGGTCTCTTTGTCTCTCTCTCTCTGGAGTCTTAGCCGCCTCATTAGCTTACTGTTCTCCATTACTGACATAATTAAAATCTTTAGTAGCTTATCAAATTAAAAATGTTTTCTGCTGATCGTATTGAGATCTTCACCTCGCCGTTATTTTGCCACAACAGGAATAAATTAGGACTAAGCGATTCTTGCACAAATGCGTTGCGCTGGAGCTCTTGAAAGAGGCCACTTCTGGTATCTGTAAAGAGAATTATTATGAAGGAGAGAGAATGAGAGAGCGACGGGGGGAGGAGGAGGGAAAACAAGGAGATGAATGAAGATAACCGGGACAAAAATTGCTCTCCATTTGCTTTCACTCATTTCGAAAATCGATTTAATTGTGATGTTAAGCGATTGATCCCCCGCCGCCCAAAACAGCCCCTTCCTTTTTAATTTCACAAAACATACCAAGAATTTTATAAAGTCACACAGTGGGTGCGATTCATTCAGCGTTCCATTCACATGACCTATTCCTGAAGCAACATAATGGTAGTCAGATGTGTCCAAATGTGTTTGTGTGTATATATTTATATTATACGCTATTGTTCAAAAGTTTACAGTCAGATTTTTATTCAGCAAGGACACATTAAATTGATCAAATGTGACTCGACAGACTTTTATAGCGTTGCAAAATAAACAAATGCTGTTGTTTTAGACTTTCAAGTTCTCAAAGTATCTCAAAAATATATTAAGCAGCACGACTTCTGAATATAAGGGGGGTCCTTGGCCACTCCAATGGACTAATTTCATTGTTGGTTCTTTCTAATTCTCAGCCTGCTAGCATTGAGTTGTACAGTCAGCTACATGAAACACTTTGCGTATGTGGGTGTGTGTAAGTGTTTGTGTGTCTGTCACAGAATTGAGGCAACATCTTGTCTTCAAGCCATTTTTCTTCCCACTTATCTTCTTCTCTCTTTTTTCAAAGGACGTATGAGCCGCAGTGTGCTTGACTTGTTAAATGAGGTTTAAGTCGTCTGTGTCAATTGGAGGCGGTGCAAAACTTTAAGCATTTTGCACATTAACATGCTTTCGAGAGTATTACCCTGGGGGCTTGTTCGTTCTTTCAGTTTCTCCCTCTCTCTCTCTCATGGAGAGGGATGTTTTTGTGGTCTTGTTTTGTGTGTGCGAGAAAGAACTGGCTGACTTCCTTGTCAGAGAAATAATGGTGATTATTCAGATTTCATGCCTTGTCTGTATGTTAATTATTTACTTCAAGCATGAAATGTGCGTGAATGCCAGGGAATTTTTGTACACAAACACGCTTCGCAAAGCACGTAGGGGGAAAAGAGAGAGAGAGAATGGCAGAGCGAGAGGGCAGGCGCTGTAGATCAGCCTGTAGTGGAATAATTAATGCCCCCTTTTGTTTACTGAGCCCTTGTTTTTTATTTAATTATGCCATGAGTAGAACCAGATTAGCTGTTAATTGATTTAATTATCCAATTTGTTTGTGGCAGGCATGATTCCAGTCGAACTGCAGCAGCTGTGGAAGGAGGTGACAAACAGCTATGTGAAGGAGGAGAACAGCGCGACCAATAACGGTCACCGGGGTCTGGACCTGTCGTCCCCCTCCCCCGTTCCCCTCAAAAACCACAACCAGCATGGATCCACCAACGGCCAGTACGTCAGCCACTCGCTTAAGAGAGAGGGGTAAGATCGCACAGCCTTTAACCTGAGATTTGGGGGGAATTGGAGTGGAGTTTGAGGTCACTTTTGGTCGCAGACTTTGGGTTCTTTGCAAATCTGAGCACAGTTTGAGATTTAAAGGAGAACTCCGGCACAAAATGAACCTTTGGTCTAATAAAATCGGTGCCTAGTCAATTGTTGTCTGAGATTTGTTTTTATGTTAATCGAATGTAAAGAGTTTTATCTCTAAAAACTGTTTAGCGTATAACGCTAGTATATGGGGGCATTTACTAAGTAAAAAGAAATCGCTAGTTTATACCACTAACAAAGCTCAAAATAGTCCCACACTAACACAGTAACATAACGAGGGTCCATACATGCAAAACGAAGCATTGAGAGCTTTGTAAGTGTACCGTCCGTTTAATAAGAAGATAATTTATAAAGACAGTTCACTTCGTGTATACAGACAGGAGCCATCTTAGAAAATAGTCTCGAGAAGTCGATCCCTGAATGCCCCCAGTACTAGCATTATACGCTAAACAGTTTTTAGAGATAAAACTCTTTACATTCGATTATCATAAAAAAACAAGGTACCGATGTTTTATTAGACCAAAGGTTTAATTTTGCGCCCGAGTTCTCCTTTAACTCTTGTTAAACTCTCTATATATTCTGTTGAATTGAGTTCTGAAGGTGGAAATGGCTGCAAGGCAAGCCGAGTTGATGGACAGGTACCAATAAGGCATTTCCTGCAAATGAATAGTAATTTATTGCCTCTAAGTACCTCGGAATTTTCATTAAGGACTGGGTCTGTCTACTCCATCCTGTTCATCAGGGAATTCCAGTCAACACCTAAGAGAATGGTGCTGTTAGAAAGGTTAGATTACTGTAATGAAATTAAAATTGCTTCCTTTCCTTTTAATTATTACACAATTACAACCGGCATGATTTATCTGCACTTGTAGTTCAAGGGACATTTTACTTTCTCTGATTGATTTATTTTATTTATTTATGTAGAAATTGGAACTCTTTAAAAAATATATTCATCCTGCTTCTTATATCTGAAATATTCGTATTATTTTAAATATATATTTTACATCGATTTGTCATCAGAACAGTTCATCTTTTGCTGAATCAATTCATTTTGTGTGGCAAATAAAGAGCATTTAATTGAATACAGTAACAGTTCACAACACAGCACAACTTCGCTAAACACTGTAAAGCCTCTTTAAAGCCCTGACACTTAAAGATTTATTTGGAGGAAGCGTTGCATCACTGTATCTTTAAGGAAGAGATTAATTTGGTTTATAACACATTTGCTTGTTTTCATGTGCTCAGGCCTGATCTTTGAACCGCTAGTGAGAAGCCTCCAGGCACTGTGAGCTCATTTATTTGTCTCTCTCTCTTTTCACATCTGACTCAGATTTGGCTGATCAAAACCAACGTGTCATTATGAAAGCAATGCGAATGAAAACACATTTAGTGCTGCAAAACAAGCTCTAGCCGAAGGTAAAGGGAGAGTTCATGTACATGTCTGTCTGCTTATGTACTAGTGTAGAGCAGAATGGATTTCATGACGGGTTTTCTCAACGTGCCAACTGCCTATGATGTCACTGATGCTCATACAAGCTTCTCTTTCTTTTCTTTCTTTCTCGCGTTCATTGATTTGTGCCACATAAATAAGAGGCTTGAATCTCTACTGCTTTCTTTGATGTCAAGTCACCTTTAATTATATAGCATTTTACAATATAGATTGTTTCAAAGCAGCTCAAAACGTTAGCATGTTGCTACGCTAATACGCTTAGAACTTCAACTCTCACAATAATGGCCGAATGCAGTGATTGGATGAACATTTTATGGTCCTACACCTTCCTCAGATGAGATATATAAATATATTTTGACCACTTAACTTAGTGATTTCTATCAGGATGTGATGAGACTTAGCCTACCTACTAACCCTAACCAGTAAAGCAAAAATGTTTCTGGAATAAATCGCTTACCCTGAAATATAAACATTTATAATGAATGTTTCTCTCTTGCACTTTGGATGGATTTTTTACTGAGGTTGTTGCAGTGCATTATGGGATTGCCGCCTCGATGAATGATACATATAATGCTGCATTACTTGTGTGCATATGTAGTAATATTTCATTAAGGAGCACTTTAGAATTTTACTTATTTTGTACTTATTTAACATCTTGAAAAGTTTTGGCTAACTTTCAGAAAATTCCCCCTATATGAATAATTAGGTCTAGGTAGGCAGCGCACTATGTTTTGAAACCGAGAAACTCGCTCGTATGCTCACTTTGTTTTAGTTGCTCTTTTTCTCCAGTCCTTTCTCCTCAAAGTGCATCCTCTAGCACAACACAACAACCCTTTTCGTGCCATAGCAGGCTTGAAACACTCAAAAAGACATGTTGGAAAGCTCACTGCTTGTCTCTCTCTGCCTCTCGTTCGGTGTCAGAGATTAAAGAAGACGTCAACAGCAGTTTAGCACCCATGCTGTGAAGAAGGCGTTTTGTAGACTTGAGTATCTTAGATCTGTCAGAAAGAGGAGCAGGTGATCAGCCCTCTCTCTTCTTCCGTTAGCTGCAGAATTAGTGCTAGAAATGCTCCCAAATCATTACTATTCAAATGCAAAGGCAAATTAGAGCGACACTGCTAATAACTTAGCACTTTGATAATTTTCCATGTTGTAGTTTTATTTGTAAACGTGCTTCATCACTACGCCCAATTGGCCTCCAAGAAAACATAACACCGGTTTCTAATCCATCTACGGATTTCCATAGCTCGAAATCCAGGGTTTTGAGTGGGAGAAATGAAATGTGGACTCCTCACACACGAACGTTAATGAACTTTTAATTGATGTGGTTTTCCTAAGTCCCTCTTGTCGTGAAACAGGCGGGCGGCTGCGCGCTGATGGACTTACTCTGCTCTAGCTCTCTCAGATTGGTTTACCGCCGGGGTCTTAAACACCGCACAGGCCGTTTCATGTGTCATATAAAATCTGGCCAGTCGCTGCGACGCCTGCAACTAAAACCTTAAGTGCATCCAGCGGCATCATTCACTGTCTTTTCACTTCCGTCTTAAAGGAAGGAGAGAGAAACTCAATCACTCTGTACATGTTTAGACGCGATGCTACCCTGCTTTTAGCAGCCTCCATCGGCTCCCACTGGTGCCTGCACAGAGACATCCACCGCATACACACCCAAATATGATAAAAGCCTTCAACGTGTCAGTGCACCCGACCCATCGGCGCTCAGATAAGGGACAAAAAACACTCATGGACCTGTGTGAACCTTTCTAAGGTGATTGAAAATGAGGTGTCGGCTTTCTGGCCATGGGCAAACAGGGCCATACCTGTTTTTTTTTTTTTTTTTTTTTTTGTTAAATGAAAAAAAATTATAATAATTTATATATATATTAATAATAATAAGAGACCTTGTTCCATTTCAGCAGTTTTCAGTTCTCCTCAATGGAAAGGACCCAGTTTGAGTCACCTCTCTTCATTCTCCTCCCAGAATCCTTTAGGAATGCTACGGTCGGGGGGGATTAAAACCCAGACAATTTGTTTTAAAGAGATAAATAATCAGATTTGCCCCCCTAAACGAGCCCCTTAACCTCCCTTTTAATTGATCTTCAACTCTGCAAATGATAATTAAAACATTTTTGGGGGGTTGGGAGGGGGCCGTGTGGTTGGGCATACTCTGAAGGATTGAGTCGGGGGTCTGGGGATTTGATAGTAGACTTAGAGGAGGAGTGCGTCTTTGATGATTTTTCCCCACATGAAGACGTGAGGGAGAGTAATAGTGTTGTGACAAAGTGCTCAGTTCCTGTCTGAGCTCTCCAGACGTCAGACCTCTCTTCTTCGTTAGGTCAGCAGCGATGATACTTAGGTGCTCAGTGCGTGATAATACGATACTAAACCATAATGTAATGAAAGATGATCTGACAGAGCCGTGGTGCCTCACAGGAAAGCATTTGGGCTGGTGCTGTAAGAGCCGATCAAGTGTATAAATGCACATGTGGTGATTTTGATGTGATGGTTTTGTATTATTATTATTTATTTTACTTCCCCTTAAATCTAAAATATCACCTATTTGCTTGTTACAAGATAATTTGTCTGTCTTTTAGTTGTCACTGTCACAAAAAAAGCCTAAAGACCAAAGAAATTACCACACACTTTCAAAAGACAGACAAGATCACTGACAAGCTTTGACTCAGTCTTTGTTTTTGGTTTGTTTTTGGACTGACAGACCCCAGTAGTCTCTCAGTCTTCCTCTGAGTTGTTTCATGATTCACAAATCCTTAAGCATTTGATAACTTAAATAAGCCTTAAAGGCTAAACATGCATACGTTCATGCATGTTTTGTCTTTCACTGACAAATCTCATTTTTCCATTATTTCATTCTTGCACTGATAAAAAAAAAAAATAGTTATTAAATGTTGATAATTGAAGATAATGAGGGTTTTGAAATTGAGAAAAAAATCTTTGCAGTTAAGCTGTATAGAGCCTGCAGTGTAATTCATATAAAAGTGTGCTGTACTGAGCTGTTGATGATCCTGTGCGAGCGGATAAATTGATAACAGGTGGGGTGTGTTTACTGTTTGCGCTTGGCGGGAGCAATCCAGATGGATTTGGGAGCTTCCTGTTGTGGGAAACACTTGTTGCTCTTGGTGGACGGCAGGGGCCACGGTTCAGTGGTTAGGGCTAAAGGACATGCTGTCTCTCAGAGCCCCGTGCTGCCCTGATCAAAGCGTTCCTCCGTGTGCATCAGAGGAGACCTATAATTGGCTATTGATTGGCCAGCGCAGGCTGTGATAGGCTGACAAACAGAGATCACATGGCTGGGAAATCTTCGTCAGTGGTTATATGAGAGTTTGTGCTGTCAAGAAAACACGCTGCTGTGTTTTTTTTGTTTTGTTTTTTGTGCTGAAGGGGAAGGTGCCTTTATTAGTTGTCATATTTTAATGGATAAGCCATTAATATTACATCTAATAGTATTATGGAGATTAATTACTCTTTAGCCTCTTTCATAAAAGTCCAATGATGCGTGTATGTGTGTGTCAAAAATTTGCAGTCTGGATATCACAGTAATGTATTTTTCTTCTTATAGATCAGCGATGGATGATCATTCCCCTCATAGTCACCCTCTCTACGGTCACGGCGTCTGTAAATGGCCAGGATGTGAAGCTGTATTTGACGATTTTCAGTCGTTCCTGAAGTAAGTATCTCTCTCACACACTCAAACACTCACACCTGGGAATGAAAAATGGAATGTATACATGGTTTGAATTGGGAATTAGCCTAGAATCATAATTTGGAACCATCCTAAAGGTTCTTAATACAGTGGGAGTTTATATGAAAGATTCCATATAGGATAGTTTCATTATGATTCCAACACAAAACTCTTAGAACATACATTTGCCATTATAAAGGATATTTTTGTTATGATGGAATCCAATTAATATTGGGATTATTTCTAAATCACAAGTCCATAACAAATTTCAAAAGCATTTTCTTGATCAATCTAGTCAAACCTAGTGTCCCATCACAGTATTTTTCAATCCCTTTCCTCCTGCTCTTTCTCATCTTTTGATTTTTTTTCCTCTCTGTGTGTGGGCTGGGTTCTTGACGTTGGTGTGTGGTGGTGTGCTGCTCTTTGCCTGCTCTCTGTGGTGTAGTGTGGTTTTCCTCAGGGTTCTGTGCTGCCTGTGATAACTGCAGTCCCCATGGTGATTACTGACACTTTGTCCCAAAACAAACAAGTGAGGATGTTTATCTACGGTGGGCCACATTCTGAGAGTACAGTGGGTTTGCCCTTGTCTGCCTTTTTACAGACAAGTAGAAGAGATTTCTCTCTTCTTGTTTTTAGAAACATATCATTGGTGCTTGCTATTCATATTCCTCATACTGTGGGATTTTGACAAACTTTTTAACATCGTCCAATAAGCATCCATCCAACAGCCACTCAGAACAAGCTAATAAGTACTTAGAACATTTCACCAACCACTTAGCGACGACCTGACAACCACCCACAATACAATGACATTTAGGAGTCCACAGGACCCTACTTATTTACGCCCTTTGGGCTGGGCTTTTAGCCAATTTTCACTTCATAGCTCACACGTACGGGGCATCTGTTTTTGGCTTCTCTATCTTTTATAATTTTGACATTAATTAATTAAAAGAAACTGAGATGTGCTGCGCTGGTGGAAACAAAACGAGACCATGAATGTTTGGTGTTCCTGCCAACAGCAGTAGCAGCAGGCGTGCCTTCAGTGCAGCTGGAAGAGTTATATGCCTTTTACACCTGGTCACTTCATGCAGTTTCTCTGATCGGGCATCTATCTGATTTGTTAAAACGGTTACATTTACACTTGGCCACATGAATGTGTCTCCGCAAAACAAAAATAAATCCAATACAACAAATTTACCGGAGTTCACGTCAATGAAAGCAACAGATTAGAGTTTTTACTTTATTTATCGTTAGCTGGTTTCAAGATTAGAGACCGCAATAGGAGAGAGAGCGGCATAAGCACCGGTAAGATCATTTAGTCTCATTACTTCTAATGAAGATGATTGTGTTTTGAGCTTACTTTCAGTTTTATTCATGTTGACTTGCTGAAGAGCTACGCTTCTGTGGCAATGCGTGTTGAGGTATCTGGCTATTGCATGTCATATAGCCTATAACATGCTTAAAGTAAAATTTACACAACAACCAGATGCATTTACACTCGTCCAGTTTCATCTGGAATGTGTCCCAGACCACCACCTGAGGTGATAGGATTTAAATCCGTCTTGAAAGTGCTTCGGATGGCATTTACACTTGGTCTTTTCCGATCAGAGAAAACGCTTGAAGTGACCAGGTGTAAAAAGGCTAGATTGAACTGGAATGAAACCTCTCACAATGCTCTGTAAAACACTATTCTTCTGGTTGTAGACATGTTAGGAGGCTGTCTCGTTTTTCGTTTGGGGATTTTTTTTTTTTTTTTCCTCAGATTGTATAGCCGTTTCATTTGCTAGCACCATAGTTAGCAGCCAGCCTCAGCTTGTCAAAAATGTCTTTTTTTATGTGGTGGTGATAATAAATGTTTAAACTAACATTGTGATATGCTTGAAGTGTTTTATATATATGGATTGTATTGTAGCCAAGTCAAGTGTTAATTTGAGAGGCTAAATGGATCAAACATGTGGTCAACTCGCTGTCAGCCACTGGCTGCTTAAATTTATTTTATTTTTATTTAACAAGCAAAAAATGCTTCAAACATTTTAACTTAATAAAGAAACGTAAGGAAATATAACTACTTTACCATTGAAATCAAACCTGAACTATTCTAACAGCTGCAACAGTATTGTAGGCTGTGTAATGGAGAGTGGAAAAAACACGGACTCCAGTCAAACTCCTATTTTAAGCTGTGCAAGTCACATTTTCAATGTAGTTTTTTACTACTATGAAAAACAAATACGTAAAATACAAAAGTTTGAGTTCAGTAAAAAAAAAAAAAAAAATGCAATACACTTTTCCACAATCAATCTGCATCACCCTCACATGCACCACACTGGTATCTGAAACATGACAGAAAGCTCTAACTGTTGCTTTGGTTTTACCTGCAACCATTGTCTGTTCACCTGCCCACTATGTATTAACTCAACTGAATCACGCCTGACCTGTCCATGCTGTTAAAGTCCATTCTATACTGGCCAACACACAGCGGCACGCTCCCTAAATAACACCTAAACCAAAGATCAGGCTAAAGGTGCACGGTTTACACAGCGTTCAACCTGATCCCTTCTCTGAGAAAGACCTGGTCTCACTTAATCTCCTCTATGTGTGTGTGTTTGTGATGAGATGATGAGAACGTGTGCCGTGTGGCAGCAGATCAGTGAGTGTGTGTCGGGCTGTATTAGTCCCACTCTAAACAAGATATGACACTGTTCCATTATCCCGGGTTCAAACTAAAACAAGCCCGGCTCAAAGACCCACAAGCCGATACCAAAGAGAAAAAAAACGAGTGGTAAGCAGAACCACAGCTGCACTCCCCTACCTCTTTTTTTGTATTATTTTCCACCTCTGTTTCTTTCAGGGTCGAAGCTTGGGTTTTAAACTGCAGGTTTCTCTTGGCAGTTTATTTGAGGGCATGCTTTTTCAGATAGTAACATCTATAGTCTGTTTACCTGTGAAGAAAAATGTGAAGTTCATTCGCTCTCTCCCCCAAGAGTTAAGAAAGTTTGCTTCAGTTGGAGTTTCTAAACCACAGATCTGAAATGTTTTTTTGGATTGTGGTTTTTGCCTTTTTTCTAATGGCCAAACCAATGATTCACCATTTGCTTATTGAAATAAGAGAAATTAGGATTTCAGAGCAGGGAAAGAGTGAGCCAGAGAGAGAGAAGTTCTCTTAAGTACACTCTGCGATGTTTACACAAGTGTTTTTATCGTGGTAACATCTTGTTTACTTTTCTTGCCTGCACTAAACTGCTTGGAACATGCTGAGAAAACATTTGGAGATGCTCTACAAAGCTGCCTTTGTAAAAAGCGAGGCTGGGTGAGAGTTCAGCTGGCACGCTGAAGGTGTTAACCGTCCATGTGCTAAACCTTCCCACATGTACATCCTCCACCCAACAGGCCTGAAGACCCATAAACAGAAATCAGGGAGTAAATTAGCTGGATGATAAGAGTTTTCTGGGTAGCTGGAGACGGGGCCCAGGGCGACGTAGCGAGGATCCACGTCACGTGGATCTCGGCCAGCCGCGCCAGCAACAACAAACGATAACGTGCGGCGGTGTTGTTTTAAACCATATGGATATTTATTATGTCTTTAAAGGGAAATATCTTGTGCAGGATGATAATTCGAATAAATAAAAAAGGGAAACCAGTCACAATGTGTGTGTTTCCAGCAGAACAGGAAGGGGCAAAGGTTTATATAACAGATTTTTCTAAGGCATCTATGACCAGGGATATTTGAAAGGTCAAACTCTGTATTGTGAGTGTTGGTGTCATCTTATGTTTATCTTCTTTAAAATGTACATTGCTTTATGATTTGAATACAGTTTGTAGAGTATTAGTCTTGGAACTGGTTTCTGCTCACGGTTACCTATCGCAAACACGCACATTTGTGTTTCCCATCCTGAAAAGGGTGTTTACCCATCATAGACAAGCAGTATGTGTAAACAAAATCAGTAGATAAGCATAATTCCTTTACATAATGCAACCAGTTGAGAAAAAACAGGCGGATGTTTAGCTATTGAAACGGCTGCGTGTGTTTGGGAGTAAGCAATAGTTCGTCCCGCCAACGCCATAGTAGAAAAGACCTTTCAGGGCGTCAGCATCGTTAAAACCTGGGCAGCTTCAGTGATATGTAAAATGCTGACTGTTTAAATAATGTCTATTTAACTTGTTTTATTGTGGCCATTTACATTAGGGGCTGTCATCCTGCCAGAAAGCTTTTAAACAGCCTTCCTCTGAAGTCCAGAAAGTGACACATGCCAGCGCTCATAGTCTTTCCGATGTCAATTCTGCCGTTCTCAGGAGCTCCTCTTGTCCAGACGCTCTTCCAAGAGGCTGCATTAAGGGCCATTTGAATATTTCATTTCCTATTAATTATGCACTGTGACTCTACATGTCATTAGACCGAACGGAGGAGAGGACGGGGGGAAAAAGAGAAACGTCCACCGTAACAAAGGATGAAAAGAGGTAGCGGGGGCTCGCCGGGTGATGCGAACGACGAATTCCAAAGCATGTCACGTCCAGCCATGTTCATTGCAAATGCGAGACGCCCTGCACCTATTTTATCTCTCGGCAAATGAAAACTGGGTGGTTGTTTTGAAATGTTTACATGATCCCTCTTCAACCTTCCCTGACTTCAAAAGCGGCTTGTTTTCATTTGATTAATGTTGGAAGCCAGAACAGACATGGTATAGTTTTAAACAAGGTGTGGATTTATCATGGCCATGTTAAAACACTCGCCGCCTCTAATCCTTGTGTTATTTCTACGAAAACATCCATTCTGAATATCTTTAAAGGTGCATTCATGCGGTGTCAACATGGTATTTATATGCTCGTTCTGAAGGAAAACAGAGTCCGTTTGACGCTCGTTTAGATCATTTCACTTTCAAGGTTGAGTGCTCCACTTCCGAAGTCAAAACCGCCCTCCGCCACGAGTGTTGTCGAGTGTGTTTTCCCCACACGTATCTTCAGCCGTGCTCTCGTATGTTGTCTTTATTCTTAATAATGGCGCCGCTGCCATCATGTCACGCCACCTCGCCAAATTTATTACACCATCAACATCAGTTCTGGCTCCCCTTGTCTCGGCCCCTTGCTCAGGTCCGGGCACGACGTTTTGATTTGCGGCAGAAGACTGTAAACGCACATTTGGGAAGATGAGCACGTGGAAAACGCCACTGTTCCGTTCCACCAGCCTCTGCCTGGTGACAGTGACCTACATGGTCAGTGAAGATGCGATATAATTTATGATATATATAATATATTGGATCCATTAGCAGGCATAATGAAGTAGTGAAATGAAAGGGTATTTGTGAAATCAGTTCAAACATCCTGCACGGATTATGATTAAATGATTAATGAAATGCCCCTGCATAAGCATTTTCGAACCATAATTCATGCGAGGGCTGATAAAGATCCTCCAATCATATTTCCTTCAGTCGTGAGTCTTATCTCCACCATTTTATATAAATCACCACAAAAAAAGAAGAGGAGGTAAAAAAAAAAAAAGGAAAAAAAAGGGAAAGCTTGGCCCGCTTTGCCACGGCCAGCTACTTATTTAGATTAGTTATAAACGTGCGAGGGAGGGAAAAAAAGGTCTTGGCGGTATAAAATAATCATGCATAATTATATTCATAATTCAAGTTTATGACAGATTCCATCTCTTTTCTCCTTGTTGTCCTTTGCCTTTTTTCCTCCTGGCTTCATTTGAGTTCTCTTAATCTAGATGACATAATTAACTACAGAAGGCACCAAAAATAAGAAGAATCCATTTAATTTTAAAAGCTGGGAGGGTTGTTGAGTGCACGTCGGACAATTTTTTAATATCGCTTTATTCACCTGAGTTTTGGCGAGGCACTTTTCCCGTCCGCTAAACTCCGTTTCTGTAGGTTTGCATGAAAAACGGCCACTTCGTGAATTATGCATGAGGCGTGTAAGGAGCGCTTCTATTTCCGGTAATGCAGAGATCTTGTTAGAACACTCTTCATTTGTGTTTGGGGAATTTGATATTTGTGGATGTGTGGACATTGGCTTTATTTACTTTTTATCATTTTAGTATGTGCGCATCTCAGGCCATTTTCACTTTTCCAATATGGAGAAATAAATGACTGCCCTGCAGAATGTGCAGATAATGTAATTCAATATTTTACCATGAAAGTTTTATCAAATGTTTAATAGATGGCTATAAAATATGGTACTAAAATGAAGGCTTCTCTCTCTCTCTCTCTCTCTCTCATCTGAATAATGAACATGCCTTGGATGACAGGAGCACAGCGCAGTGCCGGGTACAGATGCAAGTAGTTCAACAGCTGGAATTGCAGGTATCATCGCATTTCTCTTCGTTCATCTCCTTTTCTGGCTTCATCAAAACTTTGATTCTTGTCTCTCTCTCTCTCTCTCTCTCTCTCTCTCTCTCTCTCTCTCTCTCTCTCTCTCTCTCTCTCACTTGCTCGTTTTCTCTCAAGTAGCAGCTCAGAGATAGAAGAGGGAGGGATAAAAATGAAATTATTTTGTACATTTGTGAGTAACCAGTCATTAAAAATGTGTTATGTTCGCATGACAGCTAGGCAAAGATATATGGAGTGCCCTAGGGCTAACTCCACAAGATAATTACATTTCCAATTTTACTGGGTTTTAAAGTCGTTTATGACTTTTAACTATTTGGCACCACAATAAAACACTTTGTGAAAAAACCCAGGCGCACCAACAATGGGTGCGCTACCAGTCATTTCAATGGATTCATTGAGTCATATTGTTTATTGTATTGCATTGCTTGTTAATACACATTAATCATGACATACTCACCGAATGGCATCGTAGAGCTGGGGATAAATGGTTTGTGTAGAGTTTCGGTTTTAAGAGGAGAAGCGAGACACATTCTCTCTTGGATTCAGTCAGATCTCATTAGAAAGTGCCAGAGCCATTGTGTAGCAATTAACACATTGAACTGTTGTGCTCATACAGGCAAATTAAGGTCAAATCCAGCTCTATATTTTTATCAATATTTTAATTCTTAATGTATACGACTTTTTTTAATTATAGGACCTTTATGCGTGCTGGGAAAATTCACCTCAGGCATGAAAGTCCAGGGATCATTCTCTATCTACTGTAGATGCTCATCTGCCAATATATTAGCCATTTATACTCTACTCTATTCAATCGCTCGAAATATAATTAGGCTGTTACATGAGGGATTGTTGTGATGCCGATAAAGTCTTGAAACTTTTCTTCTATACTACACCAAATCAGCGAGAGAGATTTAAAGAACCACACATACAGTGTGGATTCAGAAGAAGTACGGTAGCAGCTGAGAGGAGCAGAACTACATAGGCTGCATTCCTCAAAAGGAAGTCCATTGGTGCCAATGGTTTCTATGATCTACTCAGAGTAATGATGTTTTTGGTCCAGAGTGTGTGGAGGTCGGGGAGGTCCTCTAGTATTGGTTGTGGATTCAATTTGGCTGAAGTAATCATGACTTAAGGCTAGTGTGTGTGCGTGTTCATTCTCATTTGCTAATAAACCCTCAGGGTTGTGTCTCAAGATCAAGTGTAAAAGTCACATGCACATTCTGAGAACATGTATGTCATGAATAAACATGTCAGTTGTCCTTTCACAAGATGTTATTTGTTATACTGATAGCTGAGATAATATTACACTAAAATACCTGTAAAAAAAAATCTAACCCTTTCTAATTTTTATTAAACTTTTTTCTGATTATTTGTTTCATTACAGTTATCAAAAGATAAAGAGCGTCTCCAAGCCATGATGACTCATCTTCATGTGAAGTCTACAGAGCCCAAACCCACCCCGCAGCCAGTGAGTACTCATGTCTTTGCATACTATCCATCCTAAATGATATGTTAGATAGGAACTAGAGCACACAAAATGATAGTATGTCGAATGTGCATTGATTATATACGTTCTCAGGTGGATTTTTGGAGTGCATATCTGTTTGCTTTTACAGTTCTTTGTCATTCACTTTTGACTTTTCTTGTTAAAATAAAATTTAGTTTGGATTAAAAAAAAATTATTTGTATTTTTTTTTTATTAATAAACAATATTAGTGAAAAATGCTGATGATGTTTTAATACTTTCATACTTTACATACTGAAATAAATGAAAGTACATCATTTTAGGGCAAACTACAGTATGAGTTTTTAAATTGAGATGACCATATTTTATACAGTTAAAACATATTCTTTATTTTACAAGAATTCTTGGAATTCACAAACCTTTACAAATATTCAAATTGATCATTGATCAGTCATCCTCACTTCGGTTTGATCATTTATTTACTGCTCAGGAGCCCAGATATGGTGTCCTGGGATGGCGGTTCATTCAGTGGAGCTCAGCCTCTGTCACATGCTGATTGTTTGGATTAGCATTTGTACAGAGTTATCTGACACAGCGACGCTTGTGTATAAAAATCGTTCTGGGATATTGATAGTGTTGTTAGCTAGCCATCTCTCCCCACGGGCAGCTTGTGGCAGAGAGGAGGACCCTTGCAAATATCCACTTTATTATGAGCTGCTATTATTGTTTTTGTGTACTGTATACTATGCTTGATGGTTATTTAATTTTACCATTACTTGAAATGTGTTTACATTTGGTGACATTTTACTCAGCAGCATTGTTGTGCTAAAAGCCTTGACATTTATTTCAAATTAGCTTGGCTTATTTTGCAATGTGTCTTTAGTTTTAGAGTCACGATTTTACTCATGAACAAATTAGATGGGTTTTTTTTGCGGTCTGATATACTGCTCATTAATCTTGCCCCAATAACATTCATATTTATCAACAGCTCATTTTAAGAGATATTTTGCCTCAGGCTGCAGTTGTTTGTGTTTGTGCGTGCACATGTGCATGCACGAGTTTACAAACGAAGGTGTCACTAAGCGTTCTCGTCAGTGATCTGACCTTTTCATTGTCCATAATTATACGGAAGATTTTTTTCTTGTTGTTTGTTGAGCTTTTTTTAGCAGCTTTGTCTTCTGCTTTCCATGGCAGCTTGGCAAGTCAAAGCCAGTATAATTAGATCACCAATTACCATTTTAATTATTTTCATTCTCAAGTCTCATTTTGCGGGTGTATTGGAGAGCACCCAAATGGTACAGGAAAACAAAAGGAGGGCCATTACTCGCCTGTATTGTAGAGGATATTCGCTGTGGATGAGGAATATAGGTAACAAAGCTAGCTGATGTGCACAGAGGTTGAATGAGTCCATACTATTCGAAACCCCTGGCCCAAACTGAGTCCCTGTTCTTAGTCCCACATATTTTTTATTTTATTTTTTTTGCATGTCATTTTATCATTGCAGGGAAAGCCTGATAGTCTTATATGCTCAGACTTAGGCTGTATCTTTTAGTGTGTGTGTTTAGTGTAATCTAAAGTTACATTTTTCATTTCCGATTTTTAAGTTTATTAATTTAAAAAAAACATTCATACTTTCACATTACTTTCCAAATTTTCTTTAACAAAAAAAAATTAAGTGAATGACAAACAACCAGTGTTATTTTAGTATCCATAATATATACTATTATACTTTTTGTTAATATTTTGAATTAGATTTTCTTTTTGCATTTTCTTTTTTTTTCATTTTAAATTTAAGTTGAAGTTTTAGTAATTTAGTTTTTTTTGTCATTTTTATATATTTTTTAATTTCAATATAGTTTTTTTTTTTTTACTAAGTTTTAGATCATTTAATTTTAGTCGTTTTATTCCTTATAGTTGCCAAGAAACATTTCTCTTTTTTATTATTATCTCTTATGTTTTATTTCAGTTATTTAATTTTATTTTTTAGGTTTTAAATTTTTTTTTATGGTTTTAGTTAATGATGATAACCCTGCAAACAACTCCCTTGCCTTCCTAAATAATACAAATATTATAATCTGTATTTTTTTCTCTCCATTATAACACATTATAATCCCTTACTAAGGCAGTCCAGTGATATACAGTAGCAAGGAATCATAACTGGTACTATATGGTGAATTTTAACATGACTGGACCGACCAATCGAAGACCAGAACTATTGGTTTTCTAATGTGATTTTAGCACAGAGAGAAACCAATTAACAACAAAAAAGGTCAGATAAGCATGAAGACAATGACATGTCAAGGATGAAGCTTCTGTCATCCCTCAAATTTCTTTATTATGTACCTGTCTATCAAACGGAGCATCTGTATGGTAATGACCGTTAATAGGGTGTGTGGTAATTGCGTGGCCTGCGACGTATCTGCGTGGCGGGGGGTTAGATGTTAAACACTGTGTGTTGGTTTTCACTCGCCTTGCCGTCGTCTGCCCTGTCAGCGCCGCCATTATAGAGCAAAATTAGACATCTGATACCTCCAAAGCAATTGACAGCCTTGACATTTCATTAATTTGTTCACCCAATCTGTAGGCGATTGTGGCGCACGCCGAAAAACCCACCTCCGCATGCCCTCTCGTTGTTTTTTTTTCTTTGCCCCTCTCTGCTTGTTCATGCATTCATCGCTTTTCCACCCTCCCAGTGAAATCGTGTTTAATTTGGTAACAAGGCCTCCTTTGGCAAATTAGCAATTAGAACAATTTGGTGGGGAAATATGTATGCGTGTCATTAGCTTTTTTTTCCCATCGCCTACAAATTAATAGCAGGAGCATCGGGTCAGGATCGCGTTTTCCACTCCAGTAGAAGAGGAAATCTGACACTGGCGACTCAACGCAGCTGTTGGTAGCGGGACTGGAGCTTTACGAACCCACTGGTTAATTAGTTTACCTTATAGCCATTATTACTAGACCCCCACATCGTGCCACTTGATAAGGGAGGAAGAAAGTATTTTTCTGGAAACTATTCTCCAGAAGAACCATCTCATGCCAAACCATTGGGCTGATGAGGGTCATTCAGATGTGACGTTTAATCGTAGTATCACCCCTGTAAGTAGCCACTAATTAGGGTCCTTACAATACAATTTGAGCCTGTAATTAGTGTAGATTGACCTCTCTCTGTCTGCGGCTTATTAGGAGCCTCTTAGGGCTCGGTGAGAAACTCATTCCATCAGCCAGCAAGACTGCCGCCCGAGAGCAAAGAGAGCGAGCTAGGCATTCTGGGAGCATGCCAGCAGACCAAACAAAGAGGCAACCAGGGGGCTGTACGCTATTTGCTCGCAGAATGATGGACGCAGAAAGCGAAAGCATGGTGTTTACAAATATTTACAAACCAACATGCTCCTCTGTGGCGCAGAGATTGATTGGATGGTGTGTTAACAATTAGCATCCGCAGGCATCAGTGGTGACTAACAATGCTCTGGTCTTCTCTTCAGCTGAACCTGGTGTCCAACGTAACTTTGTCCAAGACGGCTCCCGAAGCCTCGCCGCCCCTCAGCTTACCCCAGACACCCACCACCCCGACTGCCCCCCTCACGCCGCTCTCACAAACCCACTCTGTTATCACCCCCACCAGCCTGCACAGTGTCGGTCCCATGCGCAGACGCTACTCGGACAAGTACAACATGCCCATATCTCCAGGTACGGGCAGACTGTGGGAAGCTTCCTTGTGACAATACATACAATACATTGAATCAGTGTCAAATCTCATTTCCCTCCAAAACCAAAATAATAATTGAATAAATCATATTCATTAAAATAATTATATGAAAATGTTTTTTGCTTTCTAACATTATATTTATGGCAATTAAACAGCACAATGTAAACACAAAATTACTCTAATATGTCTGGATTTTATCTTATGTATTGATTTTATTTTTGTAATTATTCTCAGTGTTGATTCTCATTAGATTTAGCATTGTTTTATTTTACTACTGTCCTTCTTTTATTTGTAATACTACTATGATGTAAATATAGAATAGAGAAAATACTATAGAATTTTAAATAGCACGTAATTACTGTATTAGTTAGTTATTGATTGATTGATTGATTTACTTAATTGAATTTTTTTATCACAGTAATGAAAATGAGATGTTTGTATATAATTTGCCTTCTTTTGTATAATCCTCATATGGAAAATAGCTTTCCAGTCTTTTTAGTTACAATTTACCCTATACACTGTCGCAAATTACATTTTAACATAATGTAAAGTGTGATCAGGTATTATTTAGTTCAATTCTTCATATTTTTTTTTGTCTTTGTGAACAGATATTGTCCAGAACAAAGAGTTCTACATGAATGCTGAAGTACGACCTCCTTTCACATACGCTTCGTTAATACGACAGGTAATACCGCAGCCACTTTCACATGACGCATTTGACCCATCTATTGCATTGTAATTGAGCATCTACACTTTAGATTTTACATGCATCTAACATGCTCCACTGCAAACTTCTTTAAAGACAAACCCCTAAACCCCCACCGCCGCTGCCATTAAATTTCAGATGCAATTTAACAGCAGAGCTCAAGATTAGCCATCTGCAAATGAGCGTGAGAGCACTTGCCGTTCATAGAGGGGCAGAAAGCCCATATATAACAATTGCTTTTGATTAAGTATTACAGCCAATGTGATTATTACGGAATTCATTTCACACAACAGTAGGAACGGGGCGTCTTTGAGATGCCCAGTCAATTATCAGGCCTGAACCGGTAATCTGTGATCACACGGGCATTAATCTGGGCCCGGGATAATTGCCGCTTTATAATCTGGCTCTATAAAATAGTTTTTCTCTTTTTTTTCTTTTTTTTGTTCTGGTCGTTTAGCAGAAAAGGATGTACTCAAATTGCCACATTTGCATAAGGAAGCGTTCAGTAAACAAAGTAGCTCCCATTTGAGAACGGAAAAGCGTGGAGCTGTTTTGCATGTACCCTCAGATCAACTTTAACTTGACATACCATGTGCATCTCACTTTGTTTTTGCTCCAGGTTTGAACGGAAATGAAACAGCTTTTTGCTTATCAGCATTTGTGTGTGTGTATGTGTGTGTCTGTGTGTGTTTTTCCAGGCAATACTAGAGTCGCCGGAAAGACAGCTAACACTAAACGAGATCTACAACTGGTTCACGCGAATGTTTGCATATTTCAGACGCAATGCAGCGACGTGGAAGGTGATCTCATAGTTTTTGTTCTCTATTTCCTGCTGTTACTAATATACAATGAATTTGGAATTTTCAATGTTTTTTTAATGAAGTAGAAACTAAAAAACAAAAAACTCGATGAAGAATGTGGAACTGTTAAGCTCCTGGCAATAGAAAACCACCCCCAGAATTCAGCACACACCACTCTTATTGGACCACACAATTCTTCACTCATGACAAGCATATATGAATAAGGGAGATACAGTGAAAGTCTGAGACTACATTACAGTTCTGGATTTTAAAATAAAAAGTTTGTGAAATTTACCTCTTTTGTTTAGATGGTCACGTTCTTGCTTCCTTTATATTTCACTTATCATAACTTTTCATAATAATGTAATTCTGCTTATATAATTTGTAATTAAAAAATTATGAAATTTGATCAAATTAAGATGCAAAATATAAATATTTTCACCTGTGTTCTCAGACTTTTAGACACCACTGTACATTTTAGTTATTTAAACACTGTCATACTGACAAACACATTTTCTGTTTCCAGGAATTAAGATAACACAGCATAATGACCATTACAAAATATCTGAATTATTTTAAACAACACCAGCCCTCAGAAATATAAACAGAAATCATGTAAAATTGCTATACTTTATACCATTTTGCCCAGGGAGATTTAGTTAACAAGTTCAAATTACCCAGAGAAAGTATGCATTTTTTCCCCAAATATGATTTATTTCACTTAATGGTCCTTAGAAATATCTGGAAGAGACCCCCTCTTCATTTGGATTTATTTTGAAAGTGTTTTTTGGTTTTCTCTGGAAGAATTTCTAGAGCTTTAAGGGGAAATCTGGTCATTTGAGTAGGATGTTTTCCCCTGGATGAGTTTGTTGAGCATTGGCATCTAACTCAAGCGTTTTCAGTTTCCGTTTTTGAAGCGAGGCAGAAAATGATGAACTATCTGTGACTTTTACCAGAGCTGAATGATAAAGCACCAGAGTGACAACACCCACACAAACCTCCATCAATCAAGCAGGGCTTTATTTGCTAAATATCACCATCATGTTGTACAAATGGCCTGATGAAAGGGTAATTTATAAGGACGCAACAAACAGAGCATGTTAGAATTACTTCTCTTCCCCTCATTGTTCAGCTACAGTGCTAAAGTCATAACTGCCAAAAAAAAAGTCGTGTTTATCAGACTATTTGTACAGTCTGGAATTTTGTTGGTAGTCCAAGGTGCTGCTACAACTGGCTCTTGATCAGTGCATTTCTTTGTTTAGGGAGTGTTTTGAAAATAGCAAACTATTCTTAAAAAAAAAAACATCTTAATATTATACTCACAAAGGCTGCATTTATTTGACCACTAATACAGTAAAAACTAATATTGTGAAATATTATTACAATTTAAAATAATTTTTTTCTTTTTTTAATTTAGTGTTACTTTAATTTAATGCATTCTTGCTGAATAAAAGTATTATAAAAACATATAACTTCAAAACAGCTAGTAAAAAAACCTTGATTTACACTGTAAAAAAAATATTTTCAAGATTTGTTATCACAACATTTTTTTGTCAAATCAACTTATATAATTTAATTAATTCAGATAACTTATTATTTTGAGTTTCTGATGATTAAATTAATCTCCATTGTATTAACTCGATTTTTGCAGTTCAATCAACTTAATTTTAAGGCAACCAGGTTACTCAATTTTTTTTAAGTTAAACGAACAGTATTTTTTATATATTATATAATTTGTGGTATATTATATAATTTGTCTGAAAAAAATGTTTTAATATGTTCTGCAATTTTGCTTTTCAGGTGAATATATCTTATTTTAAGGATGTTTTTTAGATTCTTAAAATTTTGTCATCATTTACTTAATTTAAAATGCTATAATTTTTTTTCTCTGGGACAAAAAAAGGAGATGTTATAAAGGATGTCCCCTGCTGCTCTTTCAAGCTCCAAAAAACACACCATAAATATCATATGACTTTGCTTGACAAAGAGACCCATATAAGTCATTGTTCTCTTAAAAGTCCTCCTGCAACTAAAAAATATCAGTTCAGAGGAGAAGAGAATCAGTGCCGTTTCATTGGCATTCAAGACATTTTGCAAAACATCTCTTTTTTTTGTTACACAGATTTTGAACAAGGTGAGTAAATGATGATACAATTTAAAAATCCTTATTGGAAATGTATTACAATGTAAAATACAAGAGAATGTGGGTTTTATTGAAGAAAAAAACATTGAAATGTCAAATTTTTTCCAGCACATTTCCTTTTGCACTCATAGCTCTTTTCTTTCTCTCACACCAACTGCAGAATGCAGTGCGGCATAACCTTAGTCTTCACAAGTGTTTTGTGCGAGTAGAAAACGTTAAAGGGGCGGTATGGACCGTCGACGAGCTAGAGTTCCAAAAGAGAAGGCCGCAAAAGATCAGCGGGTAGGTGTTCCAGCGCCACCCCATACAGCATGGCTGAGCAAACCCGTGTCTCGTGGTGTTGATGGATGGGCTCCATGTCATTGTCTCTGTGCTGTGCCGCCCATTGACCCCCCTACTAGCTTTAGCGTGCATCTCTGTGCCTGTATGCGAGTTATGTGCTGGCTGTATGAACCATAACCCCTGGTCGCTTGTGCTTGATCCATTCATTCACTTCATATCCTCTTCTCTATCACTGTCTGTCTGTCTGTCTGTCTTGCTACATCTGCATCTGGCTGCTTGCTGCCCCTCTCCCCCATCCCAGGGTGCCGTGCGCACCAATCTCTCCCTGCATAAATGCTTTGTAAGAGTTGAGGATGACTTTGGGTCCTTTTGGACCGTAGACGATGAAGAGTTTAAACGCGGCCGCCACATACAACGAGGTCGCCCCAGGAAGCATGCGCCGGACGAAAGCTGTGATGATCTGCCTGTACAGTAAGCTCCGCCTCCTTCCCCACCCACTCCCTGCATGCCCCGCCTCTATGTGCTCGCTCATCCTGTATGTATCTTGTGCTTTTGTCATAACTGGTTTTCATAATCGATGAAATGAGTGTCATCTGATTTATAATCTTATTTTAAAATGAGACAACTTTACATATATAAGCTCTGTTCCAAAACTTGCCGAGCTTCCTTGTAATCTATTCTCTTCACATAGGCAATTACCTTCCAAGTATATATCGTAGAAAGAAGTAAACATACCATTCTTTTTCTCTATTCACCATTTTCCTACACCCCATGATGCTTTGGGATTCATTTCTGTTAAACCGTTAACTGCAAAAGTTTCAATCTTCGAATGAAATAATAAGCATTTTCAAAAACTAGGCACCATTATTCTGTTCGCATGGAAATTTAACAAATTACTACAAAAGACCAGGATTAACTCTATAAGCTTGATTATTTTCTTTGCAGTATTTCGGCAATAAAGATCACTGAAGTAATATGTGTCTGTAATATGCAACATATGTTGTCTTAATCAAAAATGTGATAATATTTTCAAAAAGTCATTTTAACAGACAATAAATATTGCATTTACCTGCTTTAGAAATATTCCAGCAAACACTAGGATTAGAAGCGAAAAGGGGAGACAATTACATTTTAAAGCATAAAGCAATTAAAGGATTTGGTGAGAAAAAACGAGAGTTATTCATGGATATGTCGTAATATAAATCGGAAGAGCGGACCACAAATGCACAGTATATGTTGTTGTTTTTTTTCATACTATTACAGCAGAATAAAAAGGAGAAAATTATCCTTGTTATACCATGTCACATTAAAATACCAAGCATTTTGTTATTCCCCTGACTTCTTAAAATAGAACATGAAGGACATTTTACAGCTCATTCAGTCAAAATTCACAGATAAAGATTATTTGTAGCACAAGCTTTTCGAGTGGAACTTCCCCAAACTGGAAGTGACTCCCATAATCTAAAACACAGTAGGGTTGTTAAAAATAAATTCCCCTATCCACCTTTTTCCTAACAAAATACTTCCTCAACCAAGGCTGCTGAAAAAGTTTTGTGCTCTATAAGATCTGATGCTAGATAACAACACAAGTGTAAGAATACACAGAAATATTGGGTACAAGATCAAATCAAGTACAAATTTTAATGATAATTTTTATTTAGCTTGTCACAATGCATTCTGGGATTCCCTATTCCACAACTGACAGATGCATTGCATTAAAACAAGCTTGCATTATTATTTTGAAACTGCCTTCGCTTTGGAAGTGAAGTAGGCAGCTAGTTTTGGGACAGAGCTCCAGTGTTAAAGAGCTTTTGAAAGTTTAGTGCCATCTATTGATTTTGCTTTTGAGTTTCATTGGAAATCAGATTGTACTCTAAATACTGACTTGAGTGTAAAATCAATCTGCTCAGTAGACCGGAGACAGTATGACTTGTTTCACTACTGAGCTGAACGTGTGTTTATATTTTTGTCTCTACAGAAGTCCAGCTCTGGTAAAAAACATCCATACCACTTTGGGATATGGTCCCGCCCTTTCTGCAGCCTTCCAGGTAAAATCACAAGCTTGCTTTTTTAGTTGCTGCCTTCGTCCAGTCATTGACTGTACAATATAGTACAGTATGTACTCATTTTGTGTACAGTTTATGAAGCAATAAAGCTTGCCTGAAAATATGAATTCTTTTAGCTGGTTTATAAGGTGACAATCTAACATGACGAAACTACAGTTTTGTAATATTCTCTTGACGGCACTATAAACACGAGTTTATTGAGTACTCACCGGTGTCAATAGCACTAAAAAGCTTTGTCTTTTGGGGGTTTTTTTGTAGAAAATGTCAAAAAAAATTCTCTTGAACAGACAATCATTCCATCATTATCACTTTAAAAACTTCCAAAAATGGCTGAAATGATTATTTTTGGATGAGCCTAAGTGTCTGAAGGCCATTGAATGGTCCCGATGTTTTGAATGAATTGGTCTCATCGAGTTCATCTCCATTCTGTTATAGGCTTCAATGGCAGAGAACAACATACCTCTATACACTACCGCTTCCATCGGAAGTCCCACTCTCAACTCGCTTGCCAGCGCCATCCGAGAGGAAATGAATGGGGCCATGGACCACGGGAACAGCAACGGTAGTGACAGCAGCCCTGGACGCTCACCCCTGCCAGCTATGTGAGTGGCTCACATCCCACCTTCAGAATGTGTGTGTGACTGAGATAAGAGCGCGAGGTACAGGGAAGATGTCCAGGAATCATTAGGCTCACGCTCGTGCAGGCAGGCCGACGCTCGCACGGCTTAGGTGGTGGACATTTTTCACCAGGTCGCTAGGAGTTGAAAATAGTCTCCGAACGCACAGTAGGGTTCGATGTACATTACAGTAGATGTTTAGCCAGCCGTGAAATTATATAGAAAAGCAGTTGACAGAGGAAGCAGGAATTGTGAAAGCAGTCTTAGAAAAGGAAACCCCACCTTTGGCAGGTTTCTAGGCTGGGGGAGCTCGTAAAGAAAATAGTGTCTCTCTCCGTGTTATTTCGAGGAGATGTTTATAAACTGGCTTTTATTACAGGTCAATAGTGTGCGGCGTTCAGCGCTGAGTTCCTCCCTAATTATTGCCTCCATTTTGTTTAAATATTTACAAAAGTGGTGAATAGAAGATGACAGAACTGGCCTCCTTTTTCCACCCAGACAGGACTCGCAGCACGTCCGAAAACTCTCCGAGCTGTCGAAAGTAAAACAGCGAAGGGAGGGGTGGGGGGTCGTAATTAGCCTCGACGAAACTGAACCAAGATTTCCATGTAGCCGAGCTGCGGTCGGGCTTGGAAACCACAGCTCCCCATACACTTGTTGTATGGGAGGGGCCGCCGTGTTGTTTGAAGCTTAAAATAATACGGTGCAGACAACATGGTTTCCAGATGTTGGAGGACAGAGCGCTGATTTGTTGCTCGGCCAGATTTATTGCCGTTTCTGTGAAACATCAGCAAATCGTTTTTTTTTTTTTTGTTTTTTTTAAATGGCGCGGTAATGAACTTGTGAAGATGTGGATGAGAGAAACGCTAATGGCAGGTAACATAGCTGCAGGCCTGCCCCATCCGCAGGATACAGAGAGACAGGATGAGGCTGTCTGCCTCTCACCTCTCCAGGCATTTGCCAACTGAACGCCCTCAAAAGCAAAGATGTTGCCCAAACACGAGCTGTACAAAGTGCGAAAATGTACGAGCATACGTAAAACATTCACATAAAAAGCACTGAGGTTTATGAAGTTAATCAGATTTATGTATCATGTTATCAAGGGCATCGCGTTTCAGTTTCGGTGAAAAACTTCTTTTCTCAGGAATGGAAATGGTTTGGATGTCACTGATAGATTAGGCAAGGGAAGCTTTTTATTTTAGAATAAAAGTTATTTATGACTAATTCAAATATCAAATAGTATTTCCCCAACATTAGTTTTATAAAGTGTGTAAATGTATGACCCTACATATAACAGGAAAAGGAAAATCCAATTTTTTTTTTCAGAATATTCTGATTAACATAAATTATTTTTTATTATTACATTATCAAGAGCATCATTTCATGAAATAAAATAATAATAGCATGTGCTTTAGGCAATTACCATGGTAATTCTCTTTCATTACCATGTAAATGCCTTGAAACGTGAAACGTGATCACTTTACAGTACTTTTTTGTAAAATGTTACCCTTTGCAAAAACTTTTTTAAAAATGTTTTTTATTTTTGTCAAATCAAACAAATTCTGTGTACACATTTTGAACTCAAACTTTTTCATATGGTCTAATAGAATTATATCCATATTAACATGAAGTAAACCAGGCCTGTAATTATGTTGTAAACACACAAGTACATTATGATAATAGAACCTCTGTATGCTAGCATTATTTCTTTTGAATCACACACTGCCTTATGATTCAAAACATCTAACAAATGGGCTTCCTATATCTGCCTCACCTGTTTGTATCGTTGCAGATGTCTGCAATCAGACGCTTCAGTCCCAATTACAATGAAGGCTAAAGTGGAGTGCATCTCAGTTGCATATTAATAACAATTTCATGTTTGCCCTCCAGCTAGAGAGGCAATGGATACATGGAGATGCTTTGATCTGAAACCGATAGAATGGGGAGAGTTTTCTTATTATTCACACACAAATATGATAACTCATTAGCATGGCTGCTTTCTTAACAATCGTGGCTGAGAAGCACATGGGAGAAATAAAGATTGTGGCTAATTACGTTTGCCAAACATGTCTCGGGCGAAAACCTATAGTTTGCCATGTGAGACTAATTAACTTAAAGGCTTTTCTACAGCTGCTTCTAATGTTTATTCTTTCATTGGTTTCAGTTTTGGTCCTCGCTCGTTGGCGCTCTATTCCTGCAGTGTTTCCGTAATGAGAAATTTGGCAGATCTCATCTCTGTGGACAATCCTTTGCCCAGACTGTGGGCCGGGGTTCATGTTTTGCCTTGTTTACAACTGACAGCGTTATTATTCTTGTAAGGGCTCTGTTTCTTATCACAGGCGTTTGTGTTGGGCCCCCGTCGTCAGCGCTTTCCCCTCCCCCCTCTCCCCGCCACTGCTTTTCTTCCCCTTATTGACACTTTGGTTAGAAGTTGCATTAATTTTGCGTGTATTTAAAGTGTATGCCGTGCTGTCTGGTCACCGTGCTTTTTTTGCACGCTTGAAGTTGATTAATGACGGAACCTTGCGCAGGGTCGTCCTCTAGAGACCCGCCTCACAGGTTGTGCATGTTAACGAGAGAGAAGAGCGGCACTGATCGCGCACCACCGGGAAGCTGACAGGACGTCCGCTCGCTCGTTCCTGCGCCTGCCACCGCTCTCCGCACTCCATTCTCTCGTCGCAAAGTCGCATGTTATTAATCTCCCTCATTTATCAATTCAAAGTGAAAACCCTGTTGTCAGGCCAGCTGTGGAAAATAAAGCCGGCTGGTTATCCCGGTGTTAGGGAAGAGAGCTGGAAGGGAAGTTATCAGGAGTGTTGCTGTGCCACCTCTGTTAGTCTTTCATTATAGAAACCTTTTTATTTTTTCATATTTAGACACTGAGTCAATCATATTGATTATATGGTTTTAATTGTCACGATATTGCCTAGAAACTGTAGATATTTACCAGTATTTTTATTTTATTTTTTCCAGTTTGTATAGGCATCCTCACCAAAAACGATTCTTTAGTGTGTCGACTTAACTCAAATTAAAGAAGAAAAAGTCAAAGCCACCACGTAATATCTAGAAACAAAAGAATAATTTTTTAAAGAATAAAATTTTGTTGATAATTTACTCTCCCCCATGTCATCCAAGATGCCCATGTCTTTATTTCTTCAGTCGAAAAGATATTAAGGTTTCTGTTGAAAACATTCCAGGATTTTCTCCATATAATGGACTTCATTGGGAATCAAACGGTTCAAGGTCCAAATGAGTTTCATTGCAGCTTCAAAGCGCTTTAAACGACACCAGACGATGAATAAGGGTCTTATCTAGCGAAACTATCGCTCATTTAAAAAATAAATAAAAAACTTCACTGTTCGAACTTGTTTATCAAAATGAACAAATCTTTTTTCGAGTCATTTGGTTCATGAAATAAGATAAGACCCTTTTTCATCGTCTGGTGTCGTTTACGCCCTGTGAAGCTGCAATGAAACTGACATTTGGACCTTGAACCGTTTGGTTCCCAATGAAGTCCATTATATGGAGAAAACTCCTGGAATGTTTTTATCAAAAACGACTGACGAAAGAAAGACATGGACATCTTGGATGACATAGGGGTGAGTAAATTATCAGCAAAAGATTAATTCTTTTTTTATTCTGAGAATTTAGGCCTTTTTTTGTGCAAATAAATGAACGTTCCTGTTCTGTTTTTTTTTTTTTCCGAAGGCATCATATCAGCGTAAAAGAGGAGCCACTGGACCCTGAGGAGCACGAAGGCCCCCTCTCCCTCGTGACAACAGCCAATCACAGTCCAGACTTTGACCACAACAGAGATTACGAGGACGACCATGGGAACGAGGACATGCTGTAAGCCTGGTTTCTCCCAGGTCCTCTGCCGAAAAGGCCATACTAACTGCGGTCACATGCGAGACCACTCCAGATATAGACTGGATTCACAATTCTCTCGTTGACAGCTATTAAAAATGTTCCGATTTACTCTTAGTGCCATTAAATACAAAAACGAAATACGAGATAAGAAAATCTATTCCATTTGGAAGTATTTTTGATTTGTTTCTACTTTTCGTTTAAAAGATGAGATGCGTAAATTTCTACTCATCATCTGATGAAGAGACATTTGGTACTGGGCCTGCTTCCACTTCGTTTTGGCATAAGTGTCACTGAGACCAGAGCGGACGTGAAAACACAGCTGAGAAAGACTCGAAAAAAACACTGATCACAAACTCTCTCTCACACACACACACAAATCATTAGCGCTTCAATGAGCGTGCCACTCACAGTGTGCGTGTATACGTATGTGACTTTAATTCATTGCCTCTGCCTTCAGATCTTTCTTAAAGGACGGTTCAGCCAAAAATGAAAATTCTGTCATTTACTCGCCCTCATGTCACTTACTTTCTTCCGTGAAACACAAAAAGAGCGCACTTGGTTGCTTTTTCACATACAGTAATGAAAGGGAATGCTCTCCCTGGGAGAAGTAAACAGGGTCTGAATTGTGAGTCAAATCTTAAAATGAATTGGTTTGCATCAGTGATCTGCTCACAGGAAGGGAAGAATGAAGAGAATAGCAGCTTAAATTTTGGTTTGTGTCCTATCCAAATCAATCTACAACTTGGAATATAGTAAAATGAGTAAATATATGATGCTTTTGTGTCTTTTTTTTAAAAAAAAAAAAGCTCTACTCCCCGTTAATTGTAATTGCATGATTAAAATCAGTGAGTACTGAGGTAGCAGAGAGTTTTTAGGGGTAAAATTTACAGAATTTTCATTTTTTTAAGTGCACTATTCCTTTAAGTTTGCCGTCATCACAGCTGGAGCATATCTGTATGGTGTTTTGAGGGTTCCTGGGCAAATAATTTAAATGTAGTGTCCTCTCATTACTCTGTGCTGTTAGCTATATATTCATTTTGTTGGGTTTGTTTGTTTTGGTAACTGATCAGACCTCATGAATAATGACGTGGAGTTATGGTGTGCTTAGCACTGGATGAATGTTAAGGCTTCTCATGCTCTCTTCCTTTCCTTTCGAAATTGAAACAGAATGTCGCATTACCGTGTAGTATTTTTCTGTCATTTGTTCCTAGCGTTTCGAATCGCCACTTTGCAGTCACATTGCCCTTGCGTGCCGACACACACACACACACGCACGCACACACTCTCTCTCTCTCTCTCCCCCTCGCTCATGAAGTCCATCTGCAAATGCACTACTCATAATGAAGGCTCCCTCTCCACGCACCAATGAAGTTTAATTTTCACGTGGAATGAATGACAGAGAAATCATGCAGGTTAACGTTTATCGTTCTGAAATTATACTTTCAAAAATCCCCTTCTGTTTGCGTCAACCAAATCGCTGATCGAAACCATCATCTGTATTGCAAAATGAAATGTCAAAAAAATTTGAAATAAGCAGCAGGGAGTGAATTGTTAGACAAAAGCTAATTGTGATTCCCGTCTGCATATATGAAACTTTTTTTTTTTTTTTTTTTTTTTTTTTCCAAAGACTGTCTAGATGACTTCAAACTGCATTGCCTCTAGTTTCAGTATCTGTTTCACCACATCAATGACCGGCTCAGCCTCTGTCATTAGACATTTATGGGATTAAACGTTAAAGGAATTACAAACCGAGGCTGACGGCACAGCCATGACCACTGAGCATTACGGCACTGGGGCGGCCCACTATGAGTCTATGACCATTCGCATCTTGCCACATCACCTTAGAAATGATTGTTTCCCGGGAAACAACTCTGATTTGTACTCTAGTTTAGATTCAAATTTTGAGATGAGAACAGACTTTAGATTTTAGGCTTCTACAAATCGTACACGTTTGCGTTTTTTTTTTTTTTTTTTTTTTTAATGACTGCAACCAACCACTTTCTGTGTTCTTATTTATTACTTCCATTTTTGTTGTCATTTTGGTTTTGTTTTTTTTTACTTAAGTTGATGTTTATGTCTCTTATCTGTGACTACCAAAGATACAAGATACTACAAGTTGATATATTCTATGTTCCATGCAATAGCTGAACGAAAGGCCAAATATCCTTACAGTGTTCCCCGCACTGTCCGGACACAAAAATGATGAAACGTCTGAAACCGTGTCGGGCTTACAACGGTGAGAGAGAGAAATAAAGAAGCCAAAGGGGTTGTTCGATGGGCAGCTGTATGTCTTTGCCTGTGACCAAAATAGGAGAGGAGAGGCAGAGACGGAGACCAACACACGACCAAATCAAAGCAATGTTGTCTTTGGGCCAATGAAAAGGAAAAAGGGAGTGTTCTATCAGGAAATGATGGCTGTAAAGGAGAAGGATATGGATGAAAGAGTTTAGGACTGTTCACTGTCGTCACAGGAAATTGAAATCCATTTGCATAACACAATGTGAACTGAACTTCAACTGGACCACACAATGATGAGAGTTTTATTTTGTTCTCATACTTTAGGTTTTGCCATTTTATTATTTGAAAAGATTGTATGCCACTTACCTTGTAAATTCGGAACGGGATTCCCGATGTCCTTTTGTTAATCTTGGCAATGCTCTATGATTGTGTTTTAGTGTCTGTCAACTTATTACTTTTTTATATTAAAAAACACTCCTGTCAACCAATAAGCTGGGTACAAGGTACTTTAATGGCAGTTACTACTATTTGTAAAGTTATCCAAGCGTTTCTTATTGATGGGGCACCCTGTGGTTCACTAAAATGAATGGAGCATCCGGGCATCCGAGGGACTGTGGGAAGGATGTTTCTGATTGTTATTCTCGAGCAGGTAGATGAGAGCATTCACCGCATGTGTAGCTCTGCATTACTGAAGCATGAGAAAACCTCACTTCAAACCTATAGGGAATGAGTAACTAAGAAAATGATCACTCGGTTGCACTTGGTCGTATGTCTTGCATGTTTAGTCTGAAACTGTAGCAAACTATTTTAAGAAAAAGATTTTGTTTTGTTTTTTTAAATATATAAAAATCAGAGCTTGTTTATCATGAGGGTCTCTCTCTCTCTTTTCTTTTTTTTTTCTTCTTTTAAACCAATCCAAACCTCAGGATTTTTTTATCGTTAAGAAACGCCGTTCGGCTTCGATTTATTTTGCTTCTCACATGCGGTAAACTGTTTCCTGTCTCTGCTCTTTTAGCTCATGTTGAAATAGGTTGTACATACACCACATTATAGCTTGTGTGTCCTCTCATCTTCTCCTGATTCTTTTCAAAGAACAAAAAAAAAATACTGTTTGTATTACCATGTTTGCTTTATCACAACTGCTTTGTATTTACTATTAAAAAAGACGGAAAAACACCAAGAAATGAGCTACTGTATGTATTCCGATGGCAAGCTGTGCTGCAAATGTAATTGACTTCGTAATCCTTGCTTTTCTGGGAGGAAACTTGCAGACATCTGGGAGCGAGAGGGGAGGGAATGGATCCGGGGATAATCCTCCGTTTTTGGATTCTAAAAAGTGTAGAATACAAAACAGATTCGTCTCTGTTATCATTGACCGAAGCATTTTGTTTGGTCTTTCCCTTCTTTCCTTGTGTTAAGCTGTTTTTAATACGTTGGAAAAAAGATCCTGCTTTTTGGGTCGAGATTAGCTGTAAAAGCAGGTGCATGCAAAAATCTTTTTTTTCCTCTTACTGTATTTTCCAGTAAAACTATCTAAGTGTGGAAGTAAATTTCTTTGAACGTTTTTAAAAGTTAATTGGAAACATGTTGCCTGGGAGGAACTTGATTCACAACATATTCTCTGAAATATATTCTCTTAGTATTTAGTACACAAATTGACCTTGTTTTAAGGTACAGTTGTCTAGTTTTCTAGTGGCTGTCAAACGATTAATTGCATCCAAAATAAAAGTTTGTGTTTACATAATATGTGTGGGTGCACTGTGTATAATTATTTTGTTTATATATAAATACACACACATGCATGTATATTTAAGAAAAAAATGTCGTTTATATATAAAATATATATATTTATATATAATATAAATTATATATACGGTATATACATGAAAATATTTCTTAAATATATACAAACGTGTGTGTATTTATATATATATATATAAAATAATTATACACAGTCCACCCACATACATTATGTAAACACAAACTTTTATTCTGGATGCGATTAATCGTTTGACAGCCCTAAAATATACTGATAAAGAAGAAAGGTTTGCTATGAGGAAAGTCTAAGAACAGATATTGATTTGTGTGTATCTCTAGAAAACCAGACAAACTTAGCAGAGCAAAGGTAGACAATGTATCTGAGGTTTGTTTTTTTTAGGCAGCGTTGGGGAAAGTTACTTTTAAAAGTAATGCATTACAATAGTGTGTTACTACCTAAAAAAAGTAACTAATTGAGTTATTTACTTTTTATGGAAAGTAATGTGTCGCGTTACTTTTGCGTTACTCTTTCTCACCTTTTTTTTTTTTTAAATAACAAAAAAAGTAAATTTTAATTCTAATGTAAATTCTAATGTAAAGCCCTTTCACACCAAAAGTGGAATGAATAAGCCTCAAGTGGAAGTGCAAAGTCACATCTGTATGGTTAATAAAGTGAGATTAAGTACATAAACTATATGTGTTATCATATTTTATGAATGCAGGTTTGCGTAAAAGTTTGCATTTCACAGTTTTATTCTTTTTGAGTAACACTGAATCTGTTTTTGTGCGAGTGAGATGAGTAAATGCATGCTCGCATTTAGTCTAGAGCAATCTAAAATCTTTACTTTGTCACTTTGCTGACTACTCGGTTATAAACTTGACTCGATGTAGATGCAATAAAAATGCATTTTGTCTCTGAATGATATGCATATTTCATCACCTGTGCTCTGCTGTGTATATGGCCACACTCTAATAAAAGATCCAGATAATTGTTTGTCATATATTCACACATCACGGCATGCAAAGATAAGGCTCAAGGCAGAACCGAACTGCATTTATCAGTTTCAGCGCAACATTATTGAGTGTCTTTCATAAGATTATGGACAGCGATATTTGGGCTGTTTGTTATGGAACGCTCAATGCGACGTCTGTAATGACCGGCACTATCGTGGCAGCTCGAACATTAAATTACCTTCTAATTAAAAAGAGACAGTTAAACTGTCCTTTACCAACAGCAATTTAGGTAACTGCATTTGACCAGCTATAAATTGTTACTGCATTAAAATCCCAGAAATATTAGCGATATGGATTTCTTGATGGAAATTAATGCTGATGATGAGGAGTTTGCTTTTTATGAGGGACGTACAGGGGTCATGCTAGCCACTAAACAGCAGACAGAGATCAGGCCTAAGCATTTTTAATCTTGTGAAACAAGCAATTACAAATAGTTGCATTGATTTGTTAAAAAGCTTTAGGTGACATAAATTGTTTCCCGCTTAGCTTATTGCTCTGATACATAAATGTCACTGAGGATATTATTAATTAAAGATGCTGGAAGACAAGATTTAAAGGAAACAATATAAAATTATGGTTCGACTTTTTCGGTGGTAATATTTTATCCCGTGTTTAGAGCTTCTTAATTTCATTTCTGTTGTCTCTCCATATTGCCTGCTCAGAAGTGCTCACTATTAGTTCTCTCCTCCTCATCCGCTGTCCAACCAAAAAACATTGTTTTATTGTTATACCTGATTGAAAAGAGTAAAAAGCATTCCTGCATCCCTTCACACTAAAGCTTCCATAGTTTGTCTTTGGATAAAGAGTCACTTAAAAATATATGAAAGCAAATTATTGTTTTAAATTCTGTTCAAATGGTTTAAAAGGATTTGGATATTACATCATTGTTATTTTAGTATTGAGATACTATCATATTTTACTTCTATTTTCAATTAGTTAGTCTTTTTATATTTTCTCTTTTAATTTTAAAGTTTTAGACATTTTGTTGTTTTTGTCATTTATAGTTTTTTTTTAAATGTCAATATATTTTTATTCTTTTTCCTTTCAAATTAAGTTATAGCTGAAGTTAAATTTTGTATTTCAGTTCAAATGTATTATATTTCAAGTAATAAAAATGTTTTTTTTAGTTAACTACAGTAACCTGTATTACAATAATATATATATTATTGTAATGTGTGTGTGTGTGTGTGTGTGTGTGTGTGTGTGTGTGTGTGTGTGTGTGTGTGTGTGTGTGTACGTGCACGCATATATATATGAAGAGTTCAGATGCAAAAGCCTCTAAATGCCATTTGAAATTTTCTTCTTTAATGATGATTTTTATCAAACTTGTATATTTAAGTTCAGTAATTTCACTTAAATAACAATTAATAGGTAATTATCATTGCAATTTATGTGAAATCACTGAACTTAAATATACAAGCTTGATAAAAATGATCATTCTAGAATTTTTCAAATGACACTTAGAGGCTTTTGCATCTGAACTCTTCATATATATATATATATATATATATATATATATATATACATATATTAGGGCTGTCAAACTATTAATTGTGATTAATTGCATCCAAGATTAAAGTTTGTGTTTACATAATATATGTGCTTGTATATATTTAAGAAATATTTTTATGTATATCCTGTATATATATTTATATATAATTTGTTATATATAAATATTTTATATATAAATAATATTTTTTCTTAAATATACATGTGTGTATTTATATATATAAAATAATTATGTAAACACAAACTTTTATTTTTTTTATATATATATATATATATATATATATACAGTATATATATATATATATATATAGTAGTAATTCCCTATTCTCACTTTTACTTATTTATTCATGACTTGAATTGAATTAATTTTCAGTCAACACAACTAAAACTGATACTAAAACATAAAAATACATTTTCATTACTTATTTCATAACTTATTACTACAAAAACTTAACTGAAATAAAATGTAATATTTTTAAAAAAACATATTGCCAAGACAACATTTCTCGTTTTCATTTAGTTTAATTTGATGTCTTGAAATAAAAAAAATAATTAGCCTAGTTGACAAATAAAATAAAAATAACACAAGAAGATACATCAGAGTCTTTGCAAAGCATTTGATCTTAAAATGAAAATATGCCTGAAAAAAAAAAAACAACTGTCTCTATCATGTCATTCACACCAGTCTACTTATGTTACCAAGTGCGAGTCTAGCCCTTATTACGGAGCCCACAGTCTGCGTAGGCTTTTGGAAATGAAATGGACAGATTAGTGCATTATCTTATTTACATATATTGAATTGCAGTAACAAGACTCCGTTCCTATCCCTCGTTTCATTCTAATTAAAGTGTGGCAATGCAACAGCAATCCACACAAGAGCTTTGCGTTAATAGTCAGAGCTGGCAAATTCCCAATCCTGTGTCGTGGCAATTAGCAGGGGCGGTAGTGTTTGCTATTCACGGGTTTGATGTTTAAAAAAAAAAAAAAGAGAAAAGTTTATTAAGATGAGCTGCTTCGGGCACTGGTGGGCAATAGACCTGCTGCAATTAGATTCCAATTATTTGTCAGTTTCTGATATTGTAAACCGCCACTTACCGCATCAGTTAAATTGACACACTGTGCTGCTTGGTTTAGCCTGTAATTAAAACATTTTGTGTTAATTAGATGATGACCACTTCATTCCAGGGCCTCTTGTGTTTGGAGCTTGTGT